TTGTACTAATTGTTTCCATTATCTCAAAAAGTTTAAGATCGGTTTGTTGTGATCTAGGATCCAAGGTGGGTGGTCTGTAGATGCTGTCGACGATGAGATCAACAGTCCCAAGAGTAGTTCTAAGCCATTGTGCTTCTATCTCCAGATCAGCAAAATCCTCTAGACAAGCAGTTTTGGAGGCAAAGCTTCATTCACTTTATACATCGTTGATCCCTGCACTTCATTATTGTACATAATCTCTTTGGTAGAGAGTGTAACCTGCAATCCGTACAAAAGAGTCTGGAATTACAAATGCAATCCGTGCAAAAATGTCAGTATTCCCCATGTATTACCTTGTATTTAACCATTAAAGACAAAATTTTAGTATATATAATGTTGACATTTATGGCTGATTCTCTCCTTCTACCTCTGTTTATTTCCCTGCTGGTTAGTTACAATTTTTGGAACTCCTCTTATGAATTTGAATGATCAGTTCAGGTTTGCATTCTGCTTTTCTGTCAGCTCACCTCGAAGTTTGGTAAGTTCGTGACGTTCAGTCGAGGTCAGATCTTGTTATTCACCTGCACTTCTAGTGATAAATGTTTGCCATCGAGAAAATCATCTTGGCCAAGAGTTTGCTTAAAAGTATCATCAAGTGGCTTGGGATGTCCAGTTCCCACATTTCTTTCACCAAGGCTGACTGTATGCTGAATCCAGCGTTCTGAGTATAGGTTCAAATCTTTCAAAATAGATGTAAATGTGATGAAGCCATGGGCCTAACTAACTGTGGGAATACCTTCTTCGCTTTCCTTGATTCTGAACATAATGATGTTTTGTTTTCCTCTGCCTACCTTAAAAACTCGTGGAAAATACCTTCATATCAGAGTATTTTCTGTTTTATCATATCTCTTGGCTAATATGTTGTAGGTTGGCAAGAGATTCAGATTGTTTCTTCTCAATTATCTCACATTTCTTTTTTGTCTCATCTAAAGTTGTACCATGACCTTATACCACGAGTTGTAGTAATGGACTCGTGAGTTCCTCTGTCAGATTCAGCAGGTGTTCCCCTTTCACTTTGGCCAAATCCCACAGGAACTTGGATTCCGCCTCAACAGATGTACCCCTTCCGCAAACGCAGCGTCAGCACCTAAAAAAAATTAAGCTTGGGAAAAAGTTTATAGACATTCAAATTTTTACACATTCGAAAATAATTAAAAAATTCTGCTTTCTCCCAGCTTATTAACGAGAGTGAAGTAACTACTATTAGAGTGTGTCTCATTATGAGGCTAATAGGATACACCCGTTGTCTCCTGGACTCTTTCCTAGAATTTTCAGTGCTATGTAACTTAGAACAGCTCTTTCAACTGTGTCAATGTCAGGTACTAGAGTAATGCCCGAGACGCACAGCAAACAACACATGTCTACGTAGCTGTTGTAATCCATGTTGATAATACACGTTAAATGATGTTTGTGTGTCTGTATTTAGGTTAATCTATCTCCCTGTTTTGGTTTTCCTTCATAGAAGAATGGAGAATGTGTGATGAATGAGAAAGTCTAATTTCCCAAGTTGATCAGACAGATCTTCAATACCTGATGATTTTTCTGTTGAATACAAATATCAACAATCTGAACTATAGTAAGCCTTAGCCTATTTCAATTTCACTGGGATTACGCTGTTTCATCGGAATTTGCTTATCAATTGACCCAAAACAATACCTCGTTTGTCCTGGCTGTCTTTTGTCTCAACAACGTTCTGTCTTCAAGTTTTGTAATTTCCTAAGCATTAGCATTAGCTTAAACATTGCCAGGGTTTATCATGAAATTGTGACAGTCAGAACTTGTTTGAAGATTATACCTGAAATACTAAATCCAACATTGGTACTTGGTACATAACTTATTTGCAATACTATCAACAAATGCCTCCTACCTTCAAAACACTTGTAGTATAAGTTCATGCGTACAGTTGGTATGCCCTTTCAAGCTGTGATGTAGCCAGAGCCCTCCTCTCCCCAAACCCCCCACTGTGGAAGATCAAGAACACTTGCGCTTATAATAATGTTGACTGTTCATATTCACTATCTATTGTTTCATGGAAAATCCCTAGACAGAATATTAGATCTACTAATGTTCTATTTTACACCCCTACAGCGACAAGTAATATTGCCCTACTTTGGCGTATGTCTAGGTTAGTAAATTAAATTGATGTTGATTTGAATAGGGTCACTCAAAACGAATTGTTAAATTTGACAAAACGAATATTATTACAATATGCAAACTATGTGCAAATGTTATAAATATTATATGTATGGAAATACTGTAAATTGGGTGATTGTTATATACACTAAAATAAAATATCACTTAATCAAAAAATTAACTCTTTATGGAGAAAACCTTTTGAAATTTATTTCACACATTTAATAAAAACTACTCATATTTTGAAAAAAATGTATGTACCTTATTCTTGAAAGAATTAATCCAAAATTTTGAGAAAATTTTGTAAAAGTTGTTGAGACTTCATGTAAAGTACTCCCAAAAACCAAAATCCTCTTTTCAAACTTGCTGGGTCCTGTGTTCAAACACTTCAATCAGAAGATGTCGGTTTTGGAGTAAATCCGGTCAATGGCTTAGGCACTGTCATTGACCACAGACATTCGGCCATAAACCAATTTTTAGGTATCAAGGACTCTCAAAACATGGATTTTGATTTTTTTAAATTTATCATTTAATATAATGTACAGGCAACAGTATATATCTGATATAGCCCAATGCAGTATCATCATAATTAATTATTAACCTATCACAGAAACATTGTATCACAAATTATCAGTGGAAAAAGTGTTCAAAGGTCATTTAATTCTAAGATCTTCCACATTGAAGAGGCGATCATAAGCCCTTTTGAATGAGTGAAGGCTAGGTGCCAGTACTACGTTCTTGGGAAGAATGTGTACAAGATGTGTCAGAGGAAGTAACTCACTACATATAGCATTAAGATGTATCCACATTTTCTGAATGAGTGACCCACAATAGGCCAAATCCCACAGGAGTTTTTCTGTCAATAAATCACTAGTTTTCACTGCAGCAGTACAGCGCTTCCTCTTAACTCATAGTAAAGAGAAAGTAAAAAAGAACTGGATAGAACATATCAATGGAGAAAAGAGAGTTTTAAAAGAAATCATTGATAATTACATTCTATTGTCCAGAAAGTAAGTTCCCCTTGGTCATCAGCAAAAAGAAAACACAATCTTATGGAAAAACTGGTGTGACACAGACAGCATATGGCTATTTACAAATTCCTGACCAGATGACATTAAGCACATCTTAGTGACGGAGAGACTTACGGGTTACTGACAGACACTGGTACCTACTCCAGAGAGCAGACATCTTCAGCAAAAGTTAATCCCATGGTATGACAAATGTCTCAATTCGGGTGCTGATTATGTAGAAAATAGTGCAACATGTGCTGTATCTGCTGCAACAAAGTGTTTCTCACCCCCCCTCTCTCTCTCCCCTCTCTTTTTCACTCTCCTCTTTTTCTCTCTTTTTTCTCTCTTTTTCTCTCTCACAGATAAGTTTACAAACCGAGCATTGAGAAGAAACTAATCATCATTTAGTGCTCTAGTAAATATGTCATTGTATTGGGCTGACCTGTGGACTAATGTCTAAATCACACAGATCATTATTCAAAAAAATTATCAATAGGAGAAAATCAGTCAGATAATTAACACCACTGAAAGAACAACGAAAGGCAAAAATAATAACTAGGTTCAACTTCTAATTCCTATCATTAGTTCTAGAAAAAGTACTATTGACACTTGTAATGGGTATTATTTAATGAAATTTTTAACGCTTCATCTTCTCAGAATATTCTTCATGCTCATTTACTAATACCCATTATTACATCTTTGATTCATAATATACTGTACTGCTGCTTGTCTAAATTAAAACAGTGGTCTAGTGATCATTTTGCTATAGTGTATATATAGTGTGGAGTGAATCATCAGAATTATCTTATTCTTGATATTTTTTAATAAAGTTATTTATTAATGAAACTTCCATATAGAAAGTTTGATTGTAAACACCAAGTGAGCTAATTGTTTATTTTACACGATTATGTAAGTGAACATTATTTTAATATCGATAAAACCCTTTCCAATCCACTGCATTAGTAGGGGTTTTGCGATATCTTCTCTGTATTGAGTCCAGTGCTGCATGTTTGTGAGAGCGATATTATTTAAACGTTGCCTATGTTATGTCAATTTCTTGAATTTTTTTTTTTTTTTTTTTTAACTTTTATTTTTCTACCTCTCCCAACCTTGTCATATTAAAGAAATACTAAACTTCATAAAAAAAATTTACTTTATTAACATTGAATTTCAAAATTTGCCAATATGTATTATTTCAAGTTAGTCGAATATTACAATCATAGCTATATTTTTTCTTCTTTTCTTGAAGGGCATGTAAAAGTTTGTTATGTAGGCATTTTATCATCCTTTGGATTTATTATATGTATTTATATGAATATTGTTCAGAAATAATAACTTTAGTACTGAATGTTTGTTTACGCTAAAGTGATCGTGTGTAGTGTTTTCCTGAATGTTTTTTAAGTTGTTGCTGCTTATGTTTCACACTATTTTTTAATAGATTAGAATTTTTAAAATGAAAATAATGTCAAAACTTCCATGTAAAATTTGTGAATCTAATTAATTTTAAAGTAGTAGAATTATAGTACTGGATTAAATTTTTCTTATAACTATAACATGGAACAACATTTTGGTTGAATAATCACCTTAAGGAATAATATACAATTGGACATAAAATAAATTTAGTAATTTTGTTTTGCTGAAATGTTTTATCACCTGTAGTATTGTGAATGCCTGGAAATGTGTGCATGTAGTATTCTGCTGTAATATGATTCCTTATGTCCTGTCATTTCCTTTTCAAACTCACTCTCTCTCTCTCTCTCTCTCATTTACTAAGACTTGTAATTTTTCCATTGTTTGTTATTTCGATGTTAAACAAATATGTTACGCTGCCTTTTTCTCTTTCAGCTCCCAGTCATTTCAGCTTTGGAGCAGCGCTTCCTGAGCCTGTTGAAGCGGCGCGCAGAGCAGCTAACTGAACGGAGGCGTCAAGACGTTCGCGATCAAGCTGAAGAACTATCTCCTCTATCCAGTCAGTAGATTTTTGCCAGGTTTTAATTGCAGAGGCATTCATATATGGATTGGAAAGATCTTTAGTGTTTAAATGTGTGATGTCCTAACTGTCAAGGAAACTGCACAATTGGTAAAAGGCTGCTTACTTAATTCTCTGGACACAAGAAAATAGAAAAAAAGCATTTCTTTATTACTTTCTTATGTTTAAAGAGATTTTTTCTCTAACACACCTTGCTGCACAGTTCATCTTTTCTCACTTCATTCTCTCTACTATCTCTGTTTAAGGAGATTTTCGTAAGGTGTCCAAATTTACTGTCTCTCGTTGGTAGTCTTGCAGATATTTAGGAGTATTGTTGGGGAAAAACATAATGTTTGTATGTTATTCTTCCACTATGTCCTTCCTATTAATGTGGCAATCCATGTGCAGTCTCCAAGCCCCCTGTTTGACGTTTATGAGGTAAGAGCGAACTTCCTCATGAGTTACTGTCATTTTCCAAGTCTTTTTCCCTTGCCTCCCTGTTTAAGTAAAGAGAAGCTTCACAGGGGTTTTCTCAAGTGCCAATGTGCATTTGTTTATAATAATTGAAATTTATATTGTATTTAATGTACATGACTAACAAGTTATATATTGACTAGTAACTGAAAGCATATGTCAATAAGGCAACATATTGCAGGTTTTTGGTTTTCAATGTTACATTTCTTCCTAAGATATATTTTGTTATAAAATTCTCTGTAGTGGCCCACTTTGATTACAACGCTACTATGACTTTTCTGATCGATTGTTGTAAAAGTTGTGGTGCTTCCACTAGATCATGTATTTTACATGTGTACACACAATAGGTTGATGATAATTTTCCCAAATCAACCATTTGCAGATGAAATTTTTCATTTATTCTTTTTACAACTGCAATAGTCATAATCCTCTTGTTTTGGAAATTTCCAGACAAATTCACTGTGTTGTTGTTGGTTGTCAATTTTTGGTGGTTTACAAAAGTGCCCCTCAAATCTTTTTTAAACTAGTGTAAGATTGTTGACTGCCATTTATTTTACAGTCTAGCAATTTTCACACTTAGTTCTTTCCAACAGAATGTTAATGTAGACGTTGTATGGTAGGATCTGGTGCTTCAACTTCAAACAGAAGATCTCGGGATGAAGAAGAACAACGAACACGGCGAGCTGCTGAGCGTGAGGGAAGACGCACTAGAAGACGGAGAGCCCGTGAAATGAAGAACAGTGCTCGTCACGTTGAAGGGATGTCTAGTGATGACGAAATGACTGAATTAGAGACAACTGCATTTCGTAATCAAAAAGGTGTGCAAAATTTTACTGTCAGTCAATATGCAGGAAACAAATAACAAGAATGGGAATCGTACTGCATTCTCCACAAAAAGTGTCATTTTGCAAAGTTTTACAACTCACAAAGACCACATTCATAAGATACAGCCCCTGCAAGTTGCTTATTTTATAATATTAATGGTGCTGAATTTAAAAAGTTGTCACCAGTGAGAAAGTGTGTCTGGTACAAGCTTCACTGTAGTCACCATGGTCTTGCTCCAGTACAGTTGCTCTTGCTTCTGCCCACTGCCTCAAAACTCATGCCAAAATTGTTTTTAATTTTGTATGAGTCAAACAGTGTAAGTGATAAAGTGGCTGAAGAGATGTTTCACCATAAAAACTTAGTATATATAAAATCATTAAGTAGAATTCATCAGAGCAAAATAACAATTTGCAGTATTGTTGAGAGGAGTATTTTTTCCATATTCAAAAGTACTCAACTATTGCACTCAACTCATATGATGTGTGTAATAATGAAACCAAATTCATGAAGTTGTATAGAATGAAATTTTGATCCTGGTAAATCACTACTCCAAATTAAACCAGCATGTACTTTAAAAGAACTACAACCTCTGAATCTGTACTTTTTTATATGTAAGATTCAAAATGTCCCATTGTTAGGCTGGATACTAGCAGGATTCGTGCCAAGAGAAGCAAAACATTTTGAAAATACTGCAGGCTTTTGTTTCAGGAACATACAGTCCTTACATAATGGAATGCCAAATCTCTTATTATTTGCGTGGCTGGTGTACTAAACTTGTGTGGCTCATGTTTGCTGTTAATTAGCATTTCTGCAAGTTATATTCATTGGAATAATTTTTATATAATGTACATCTCATTCAAGTCCCTCAAGCCAATATTGAAACAAAGTTCCTGTTTTATTGAGGTCAGATACTGATAAAATTGGCATTTTTAAGGGGCTGTATCTCATGATCATCTTGAATTTTGAAACAAATGAATATTTGCTTGTAAAATGTGTAATGAATTCATCTATAATGATACATACTTAATTGTAGATTTATACTGAAATTTTCTTTGTTTTTCATAAATGAAGCTTTACAATGGTTCTTATAATTTTTTTTATAACGAACATGTGAATTTTTACTATTTGAATACTGCTCCTAAATTGTGCTTTGTTAATTTCAGAAACAATTGAAAATGATGCTAGATTGGTCTTCGAAGATGTTGTTGAAGAATTCTGTACTTTACGTGGAGTAATGAAAAGATTTGAAGAATGGAGAATTACTGATCCCAATGCTTACAAAGAAGCGTATGTGAGTTTGTGCTTACCAAAAGTGTTGGGGCCAATAATAAGACTGAAAATTCTGCCATGGAATCCTCTTGAGGTACTTGTAAGAACTGATGTGTTTGTTTTTAGTTTTTTCTTTATTATATTATTTCCTAAAACTCTAAATTATCTCAGACTTTGCTGTTGTTGTTGTTTTAACTTTCTACATCTGATTTTCTCGTGTTTCGGTTTTTTGTTTTGTTCTTTCCTTGTTTCAATTTTTTTTTTTACATAAGAGGGACTAAAGTGATACATTAATCCTGACAAGAATAGTGTTATCTTACCAACAATTAAATATTATTTACTGTTGCCATAATAACAGAACCAATACTCTGTCAACCATATTCTTTAGATTAATACATGATGTACATATCAAGAGATAATACGCTGAAGAGCCAAAAATGTGGTACACTAGCCTAATATCATATAGGGCCCCGCAAGTACGTAGATGTGCCGCAACACGAGGTGGCATGGACTCGACTAATGTCTGAAGTATTGCTGTAGGTAATTGACTCCGTGCATCATGCGTGGCTGTCCATAAACTCATAAGAGAATGAGGGGGTGGAGATCTCTTCTGAACAGCATGTTGCAAGGTCTCCCAAATATGCTCAATAATTTACATGTTTGGGGATGTTGGTGGCCAGTGGAAGTGTTTAAATTCAGAAGAGTGTTCCTGGACCTCTCTGAAGCAATTCTGAACATGTGGGATGTTGCATTGCCTGCTGGAATTGCCCTAGTCCATCAGTATGAACAATATACATGAATGGGTGCAGGTGATCAGACAGGATGATTACGTATGTCACTTGTCAGTCATATCTAGATGTATCAGGGGACCTATATCATTCCAACTGCATACACCCCATACCATCACAGAGCAACTTGAACAGACCCCTGTTGACATGTAGGGTTCATGGATTTATGTGGTCGTATTCTCGTACGTACACTCAACACAATGTGAAACAACACTCGTCAGACCAGGCAACATGTTTCCATTCCTTAACAGTCCAGTGTCTGATATCCAATGTCGAAAAGATAAAAAATAATAGTTGAAATCAATGAAAAATGACAAAAAAGGGACATTACATTTTGTGTTAACATAAAATTAGTTTCTGTACTCTAGGGCATTTTTCTAAAGCGAAAAGAAAAAAGTGACATTTTATTAAAATCCATCCCTACTTATATACATAGGTGTCTATCAAACCAGCAATCTTTGATACTGCACTATTAACTTGTAATAGACAAATACGCCAGATTATCATTCACTAACAACATAATATAAAATGGTAATTGACACATTTTTAGATTTTTTCTTATAATTTAGATATGTAACATGGAATCTATTTGGGAGCATTTGCCAACCACATAAAAATCAAATGACATCAGACCAAGCAAACTTAAAAAAAACAACTAAAAAACAACACATGTAAAACTGGACATTAATTGCACATCTAAAAGGAGAGATTCATATGAATAATTTTCAGTGATGCAAAAGATTATTTGCATCTGAGGTCAGAAATTATCCCAAACATAGTCTAAGGGTTAAAAGGAAGTCTATGTTAAAAAAGGCTATACAGAATATTCATATTTTAAGAGAAAGGTTTGAAACTTTGTCATGCCTACAACTTTTATAGGATATACTAGGATTTGGAGCACCCATTGAATATTTTAGAAATAAAGCTTAACATTGGAAACATACTAAATATTTCTGATTTTTACAAATGAGTAAAGAAAGAGGGTAATACACTAAAATGTTACTTTTTACAAACACTGAAGCAGCAAACATTACCGTTTTACATAATTATGTTCAATTCTTTGCCAATTTTCCGTGAGTCATGTGTAAATAATTTCATCTGAACAAAATTTGAACTTTCTCTGTAATTAATTAAAATAGGTCAAAGTTTTAGCCTTAATTTCTTTCAAAATATAGTTGAAATTAATTCGATTTGACAAAAAATATTTTTCTTGCAATGTATATTAATATTACTCAAATAAATCTAGCGTAGTAGCAATTTTCCAGTCATGAATGTACACCTCTATTAAAAAATATGTTTACCCTTTTTTATTTTTTCCCTAACAAAAGTCTTTCAATATAGGCTATCAATTTCTTCTGTTATAAATGTTATCTGTAAGTCAAAAAATGTAAAAATACATTTTATATTCAGCATATATGAAAAGTACTTTACAAGAAAACATGTTGGCTAGACTTTTAGCTCCCCTTCAGAGAAAATTCTGGGGTGTGCCTTTGGTAAGAGTATGAAGTTTATAAACAAATAATGGATGTAATGATTTTGTATTTCGATCATATAATTGAAGTTCCAGCTGTTTCCAATTTCCAGTCTGTCAAAAAGCAGATCTTTAAAAATAGGTTATGAAATCTAATTTGAAAAATTATGAACAACCTGCCATTACCATGTGTAATTATTTCATGTTCTTCTCATTCTATTTGTTCTTTAAGTTTTCTATATACCAATTCATTTTGAAGTAATGTAGATCCTGAAACAGATATTCAGTATGTTCTTAACCCTTTGCTGGCGATGCCATTACGTATGTACTTCACACACAGTGCCTGCGCAGTGCATCAAAATGAAGGGAAAACTTGAACTGATATATAACAAGTTTAATCAAAATAAAACCACAAGTCAAACAAATAAATCCAGGAACCAGAAGTATGAAAAGCATAAAAGCCACACATGAGGTGAGGCTGTTTCCAGGAGGTTAGAGGATGCATAACAGTGTAGAAGTCATTAAACGACATAACCCTCGGCAGACTCTGGGAAAATGACAAAGTTTTCAAACAAGGTTTTTTTAGTTCCGTCTAGTGGCAACCAAACAATTTTCCATCTATTTGACCTGGCGATAAAACTTGTAAAGTTATCTAAAATTTAGTAAATTAATATATATATATATTTTTTTTTAAAATTCTAGGATACATCTGAGTTTGAAAGACATAAGTGGTATGATTGCCTTCTTTTATACGGCTTAAGTGAGTCAGAAACTGAAGAAGGTTTACGTAAAGATCCTGACTTGAAATTGGTACCATTGATTGTTGAGAAAGTTTTGTTGCCTAAAGTAGAACGTAAGTTGTAGATCAAACTTTCTTTTTTATATTTTCCTATTATTAAATTGAAAATGGTTTGAAATATTTATAAATGTTTCTTATTTACTATTTTTTCAGAATTGGTAATTGCACAATGGGATCCTGTTTCAACTTTACAAACATTGCGATTGGTGGGACTTCTTAATCGCATCATTCAAGAATACCCTACTTTGGGACCTGACAGTAAACCACTTCATAGTCTTGTTAAATCTATCATTGACAAAATGAAGAATGCAGTGGAAAATGATATATTCATTCCAATATATTCTAGGCAGTAAGTATTTGTGTAATATTTTAAATATATGGGTAAATGAAATTTCATGAGCAATTTAGTTATGTAAATGAATTGTAGCTCATCATATTTGATGTAAATTATATTTCACAAGATAGAAGGTTTTACTTTAAGTTATTTCCTAGAAAGACTGAAGGCTTTCTAGGAAATGGTGTTTCAATTTTTTTTTGAATGCTAATTTGAATTTATGCTTGAATTTAAAAATTCTCATCAAATGTGATGTGTTTGTGTGTATTTCTGGATGTTGTCATAATTGTATTAATCGACTTGAAAAATAATTGAACTGGCCAATTCTGGAAATAATGATGTTTGTTTCCTTTGGTTCTCCAGTGTGTTTCATATCCTTGTGGTTCCTATAGAGTATTCGTCCATTGTTGGGTGGATGGTGAATCTGAGAACTTATCTGTGAACTACATGCAAGACAGTACCCTGTTCAATAGCACTTTGCTGTCTCTGCCTCCAATCCTATTTGGATAGTGTAGTTTTCTTAGAGGTGGTTTATTACACTATTGATTATAATATAATGATTTGTTTGATATTGTTTTCGATTTGTGGTTGTTATGAGAAAAAGAAAATTAAGTGTTTTGAAGAAGAAGAAATTTCAAAATGTGGAAAATCATAAGAAGGGCTTGAAGTAATATTTAATGTTCCCTGTGATGATGAAATTTGCAGACAGCACAAACATGATATGCAAATTTGATATTATGAAATATCTATTATTCGTATATTTTTGATGTGATTTGCTTCTTTGTTTTGGTATTCATGATCATGGTAACATCTTATTAATTTACTTTTATTCTTTATACAGTTTCTCACATTACATACATTTTAAAGCTCTGCCCCCTTTCCTTATTTATTTAATAACCACCTTTTCTTTTCCTCTCCCCTGGCAACGTATTTCACACGACGCCATCAAAACACTCCATTCTACAAAATTCTTTTTTCAAAACAGTCTGATTCTGATGTTCTCTCAGACACTGTCTCAGAATCTGTCAATGATGATAACAGTTTGATAGAAACTGCATCTGATATTAATGATAAGGACAATTCTAAATGGAATCTGGTAATACTGATGTAGAACAGTGCAAAAGAAATAGCATATGAAGTTGGAGGGGTATGTGAGAAACTCAATGCTGAAGAAACTAAAACATGACAATTTTTCATGTATTGCTTTTGGGTTTTTGATTTGATTTTAATTTGTATACAATTTTTAATTCAATTTCTTAATGAATAAGAAAGATTCGAGAGCATTGAATTCTTTGGCCTCCCAAGATGTGTATAACAGAGAAGGAAAATTAATACCAAAGAACAAAATAAGGTTTATAAGAACTGTAGTCCCTAAAACCTTGTTTATACAATCTATCTGGGCCAAAAGAAACCCTGATGAACAAAATTCTGGATAAAAAAATGGAATTATGAGGATTAAATAATTTGTATTTACATGAAACAAGGAAGGCCTACTTTTCACTAAAGGGGAACTATTTATTTGAAAAATCCAGATTTTGAAAAGCAGATTACTAATGACAGATTAAGTATTCTATTTAATTTTTACTTTATTTTTTTAATGTAGTCTCTTTTGAGGAAGTGTTTCACTACCAGGAATTCCATAGATGTTTTTTCAGTATACAAATACATCATTGGGGCCAGTTACGTCATTGCCTCTGCATAGTTTATCACTTCTTGAACTTTTGCTGAATCCATGTTATTATGAACAGTATTACTGTCCTCGTGGTATGCAATAAACTGCAATCAATTTATCCTCTGTTATAATAAAATTAAAAATTCTTGATTTTGTTTTTGTGACGTCAAGAACTTTAGGACTCCCCTCATAAATAAACATTTATTCTAGCAACGGTCAACTTGTTACAAGCCTTATAAAAAGCAACTATTATTTGTGTTCTAATGTTCTAAATCCCACATCCACTCTGTCAGTCAACCAAGATTTTATTTCTTTTCTAATGAAATTACTTTTCACTGTTGTGTTCTACACTAATTGAATTATTATTGTTAATTCATTCTTGCAATTATAATGTTCATGGCTCTGTGTCCTGAGGTTTAGCGTGCTAGTCTCCTTTAAAAGAGCAAATATACAAGCAAATATAATTTTATCAAAAGAGTACACTGTTGTGCAATGATAAATTTTATCTGGTCACCAATAAAATTAGATCCAATGTTTTTCATTTCAAGACTGCTTCGTATCTCATCCGCCAATCACTTGAATATTTTTCTTCAGTATTTACTTCATGTTCATCTACATTATTCAAAGCACTCAGAATATTCTCTAATTGAGAATATGTATAACTGCATGGTTGTAAGAATCCATTCAAAGTTTAAAGTACGTTTTATTTTATGTAAATAACCTGTACTATATAATTATAAGTACAACACATCATAAAGCGAGAAGTCCCAGTGAAGTCCATCGTAATAAAAAATATACCTCTCTTTAAACTTTAATGCTGCATCCTTAAATGTTATTTTCAAGTTCATCCAAATTGGTTATGTTGTCGTTTGCTAACCAGTCTTCTTAATTTATTCGTTCCTCTTCTCATCTCTGGGTCTGTCTATTGCAGGGTAGTAGTCCAAGAGAGATTCTGGTACATTAAAAAATAAACAGAGTACAGCAACAGCAAGTATAATGATTTTTCTTGGAAGTATGAAATTGGATCCTACAGTTTTAAGATTACTTATTTTTAACCAATGTACAATAGCTATTAATGTCTTTGATGTGAAAACATCTGATACAACTTGTATAACTAGTGAATAACATTAAAAAATTATCTTGACTTTATGATACGTTGCTCATATTACTAACACAACTCAATTTGGCCATTAAGAAAATAAACAATGCACACACCAATATTCTAAGGTTCTGCATTCATGGTTGTACCATTACGATTAAAGAAAATGTCAACCTGACTCGCTTTTAATTAAACAGACCGTACCCTTTTGTTTTATGACAGTGTTGAAACTCCAGGCAGGTCAATTATTTTTCTGGTTGGATGATAGTGTCAATTGTTAAAAGCATGAAGATAAAATTTAAAAACAAAAATTACATTTTTGTTGCAGAATATCAGATTCAAGAAGTAGCTCTATGGGGCAGTTTTTCCAGAGGCAGTTTGCTAGTGCAGTAAAGTTACTTCGTAATCTCTTAAGTTTTCAAGGCATAGTAAGTGATCGTATTCTTGGTGAAGTGGCTCTGGGTTCACTTTTGAACCGTTATCTGTTAGCAGCGCTTCGGACTTGTGAACCTGGGGATGCAGCTGAGAAGTGTAATATGGTAAGCTTACCAATTGCTATTAATTCAAATATTATGTGAAAGCAGTACATTGTAATAACCTTACTAATATGAAACATTATTTATTTAAATTACAAAGTAATAATAGTAGTAATAATAATAACAACAATATCCATTATACAATCTTATAATATTGCAACTTCCATCATACTAATACTTCAGCCATCTCTTGGAAAACTCTTCACTGAATGAAACTCAGGAAATTCAAAAAATAAAATATATAGATACCTTTAATTAATCTTCACACTCTTTAATTCTCAGACTTTGTGTCGGTATCTTTGTAAGTGTGATTGAAAGGGTTAAATTTAAGGAGATGCATTTGAGATTTTCAGATTATATTTCTTTTGCATTTTGTAGTTATTTGTTCTAAAAGGTAATGGCATTAAAGGGATACTGTTAAAGAATGACAAAACTTCAAAACTTCCAAAAGTGTGAACATTATTTTTGTCACTCAAAACTGATAACTTTGTATTAATATTCAATAATGAAGTTATGTGCAGTATCAACACGAACTAAATATTTGTTAATGAGCAAATATGAGAAAATTATACACATCAAAGAAAAGTCGTGCATCCAGTTAGAGCCAGAAAGTTTAAAATAAAAGTTCCCAAGATGAGAACTTTTACCAGCAGATGAAATCTGCAAAGTTATTACACAGTTGAACAAAATTTACTGAAGAGAGTTCTAATATCTGAGATAAAGGGATGTGACATCAACAATGATACATCGATTTTCAAAATTAAAACATTGATGTTGCAAAATGCAACAATGTTTTTAAGTAGTTTAGTAACCTTTACCATTTACATTTTTGTGGTCAAGAATTTAATTTGACAGTAATCGAGATTATTCATTTATCATGTAATAGCAGAACCCAGTAGACATTGTTTTGCCCTTCATCTCCCTCTTTCTCGTTCTTTCCCTCTCCCTTTCTCTCATCGTCTCTCTCTATCCCTCTCTCTCTGCCTGTCTGTCTGACTGTGTCTCTCTCGCTCTCTGTCCCTCTGCCTGTCTATCTCTCTCTCCCCCTGTCCCTCGCTTTCTACATCTTCCGTCTCCATCCATCTCTCTCAGTATGCCTCCATTCCTGTCTCTGTCTCGCTCTCTCGCGCGCTCTCTCTCGCGCTCTCTCGCGCGCTCTCTCTCTCGCGCGCACTCTCTCGCGCGCGCTCTCTCGCGCGCGCTCTCTCGCGCGCGCTCTCTCGCGCGCTCTCCCTCGCTCGCTCTCGCGCGCTCTCCCTCGCTCTCTCGCTCTCTCTCTCGCGCGCTCTCTCGCTCGCTCTCTCGCTCTCGCTCGCGCTCACACACGAGCTGCTCTGCTGACCTCGGCCTCACCCTGTGTCACATGTCAATGCTCAGCAACAATGAAGCCCAGCTGGAGTGCAGTTTGCATGGAAATTGAATTAAAATGAAGCGCAAGTTTGTTCTGCAGCACTCTCTAGTGGAGTTAAAACAAAATTAATAGCCATAAATTCAGGTCGCAGGAATAAGGGATCTCTCTCTCGCGCGCTCTCTCTCCCGCGCTCTCTCTCTCTCTCGCTCTCTCTCTCGCGCGCTCTCTCTCCCGTGCTCTCTCTCGCGCTCTCTCTCTCTCGCGCGCTCTCTCTCGCGCGCGCGCTCTCTCTCTCTCTCTCTCTCTCTCTCTCTCTCGCGCGCGCGCGCTCTCGCTCTCTCAGCGCGCGCGCTCTCTCTCTCTCTCGCTCTCGCTCTCTCAGCGCGCGCTCTCTCGCGCGCTCGCTCTCGCTCGCTCTCTCTCTCTCTCGCTCGCTCGCGCTCTTTCGCTCTCTCTCGCGCGCACACTTACACGAGCTGCTCTTCTGACCTCGGCCTCACCCTGTGACACATGTCAATGCTCAGCAACAATGAAGCCCAGCTGGAGTGCAGTTTGCATGGAAATTGAATTAAAATGAAGCGCAAGTTTGTTCTGCAGCACCCTCTAGTGGAGTTAAAACAAAATTAATAGCCATAAATTCAGGTCGCAGGAATAAGGGATGCGAAGAGATTACTGCACTTATTATGACCATCTCTTAGTGGGCAAAATATGAGGAACTGTGAAGGAAATACTAGGGTATCAGAATCCTCCCTTCTCAGGGAGAGATTGCTTGATGTAGGTAATATAACAACTGAGGGCATTAACCATCCAACAGTTATTATTTCATATTTTAATTTTTTACAAAATTGTGATTATGGAACAAATCACAAATAACCACCAGAGTGAGCTCTCTCTCGTCTCTGATGCCACAGAATGCGGAGAAGACCTCCATGAAAAATCTTAGGACCTCTTTGACTTACTGTCAAAAAGAGAAAGAAATATACTTTAAAAAATGAAAATATACGTTCCGAAATGAAATTGCTCCTGAAGAAGAGGGAAATAAATCCTCCAAACTTAGAGAGAGATGGAAAGATATTTGCAATTATTAGTTTAATATTTATGATTTTAACTAAATTAAGTGAAAATATGCTTTTCTGTTTAATGTGTGGGTGTTAGTAATGATTTCAAAAATATCTGTCTAATAAATGTCTGGACAAAAAACATAGGAAATAGTAAATTAAAGACAGTAGATAATTCGGCATTCTAATGGTGTTAATAAATATCAATTTGCCTGGGAAAGTACAATTAGAAAATTGTCTGATATTCATATCTGTATATTCCCTTTTCCCCCTTTTTTGTAAATTCATGACATTTTCATGTAAAATCCAAAAAAGTTTACTTATAAGTTAATCATATAATTGACTTCTCATATCAGCATTTTTCAAAATAAGCAACAGTGGTGCCCTTATGTGTCATTTTTTTAATGTGGCAGGATATTTGATTCAAGTTTCACATTTGCACACTCTGTGGAATTCTAGCTATTTGACTTCTACGCTGAACAAAATTAATCATAAAAATGAGGTTTATGGAAGAAGAATTGACTATATATTTACATAAGATTTTTTTACTCAGAACAACTTGGGAAGTAAAGTTTTAAAGTCGGTTAGTTTTCTCCCCAGACTCCCTGTGTTCATGTGAGTGTCTGTTGTGTGTGTGTGGGTGTGTCTATATATTTTTATTTATTCTTGTGTCTATTTTCCATTTCTTTAGATTGTTACAACATTTCCACGATGGTGGTTTCAACAGAACTGCAGTCTACCTCAACTTGGCATGTTTACAAATCAGCTTAAGACAATAGCACAGGGTCTTGATATAAATACTCAAGGCGGAAGGTGAGTAATTAAGCAAATTAATATTCTAATTTTTACATTGTCCATACTATATGAAGTGTGAAAAAATGTGGAAGTCTGCAAGTAACATTGAAACATATATTCTTCTTATCTGAAGGATGAATGTAAAGTTGAAGTTGAAAGTAAATTTTTGTTGCAACGTAATTCATTATTGTCTATTCAATTTGTAATTTCTATGTACAGCCAAACTCCACAAATTTGCTTCACATGTATCTCAATTGCATAAAAATTACTAATACTATAAATTATACCTAAACTATTTGTGTTTTGCCATTCCTACTTCTTAGTTCTTTTTTAGTGGAATACTATGTCTATAATAATAATAATAATAATAATAATAATAATAATAATAATAATAAAAATAGCTGAATATGTATTTGGTATGAACTTGTTTTGTTCATGTATTTATTCGTTATTTTCAGAGATTCCTTGGAGAGCATCACAAAGATGCTGCAAGCTTTGCTTCCTTCTACCATCACATAGTACTCTGCTGTGAACTTTTCTTTTGTAAATTGTGCAACGAGAACAATTGTGGAAACTGTGACAGAAGTTTAAGGAAAATCATTGAAAATAATAAATTTCATTACTGTGTCAGTGAGTTGCTGTTTTAGTGTGCGTATGTGTGTGAACGTGACAAAATGGATAAAAAATTCTCAATGCATATATGAATGGCTTGTTGCTTTGCTTGGACTGTCAATTGCATTGAATAATTCACTTTATCCATTGTATATTTTATACAATTTACTTTTGAACTTATTAATATGTGTGACTTTAGTTTTTTAAATAGTGTAAGTTATGTATATTGTTCAAAATACTTGATGTAATGTATTTAAATTGTTGTTGCATTTGAGCATGTAATGCATTTTCATAAGTGTGTTGTGCTGCAAAGAAATGAACATTGTTGACATGTTTTGTATGATAATTAGTATAAATAGGTAGTTTTTTATATAGTGATACTTATAAAACTGAGAAATGCTTGTTTCATTGGGTAATTATTATGTCTGCAGAAAACTTACGAAGATCTTCAAGTAAAGAAAAAGAAGAGGTGGGTTATACCAGTATATTTTTATTTCTTGGCCAATACATCAAACTAGGTTATCAAGGTCAATATTTTATCAGTTGTTTGATGACTTCATAGTTGTCTTTTGAGTGTCAAAAATGTTATATGATATTCTAAGAAATAAGTTGCAAAGTATTTCCCATAAACTATTACTGCTTTGCTATAATCTATAATTTTTATTGTAATATAAGTTATATCAATTGGGAATAAGTATATTAAGTCATGTTTGATGTGGCTTCTTTCTGGGATAAAAATAGTGTGATGTTAAGATACTGAATTCTTACTCTACAAGTTCATAAATAGTAGATTCACTGCTCATAAGAATATGTAACTATTTTTGTATGAGAATCTTAAGTTCCAAATATTTCTGTTAAAAGAGTTGAGACTTCCACAACACAAGCAATTCCGCTGAACTGTATTATATATTTTAATAAAAGTAATGTCATATATATTCTGAATTTGTGATTTTTAGTTTTTTCCAATATGTCAGAAGAGCTTAAAAATTCAGTGTTGGTTGTTTTTTTGTGGAAGCCCAAAATGTATTTCATTTGCCGTATTTTGTTGAATCTCGATTTTAATATACTTGAAATAAAAGTTTTTTGTTTTCCAATATTATTTGTGGGGAAGGAATTTCAATGATTATCTGTAATGATAATCCAAAGTCAAATTTTTTGTTAAAACAATTTTATTCTAATACTTTTTATGTGCAAAAAGTACTGCACTGCACTGAACGCAATATTTCTTCTATAAAAATATTAACAATGTATTTCTTTGTATCTACATTTTTTTCTGATGTTGGATTTTTCCTGTAGTAAGTGGAATTAGTATGAAGGTATCAATAGGTCAGTATCTGTAAACAGATAAACTATGTACCATGACCTTGAACCACAGTCCCGGGTAGCTTTGCTGGGTCAAGTTCAGAATGCCTTTGATACAGTGGAACTGTCAGTGCTACAAAAAGGCATCTGGTGTAAAGGATGATGTTCAAATTAGGTAACTCTTAATCAATGTAATTTGAAATGTTAAAATCCTTTGTAATCAATCGTGCTTTGTCATCAACAATTAACTTATTTTTGAACAATATGTACTAAGGATTGTGTTCTAATTAAAAATCTATTGTAGAATAAAATGTTATATAATGTTATTGGTCTTTAATTGGATAAAAACATATTTTATTGCATTCATGTTTTAGTATTATATAAATTTTTATTCAATTTGTTTTGAATTTCCTTAGTGTTTTGATTGAAATAGATCTTTTTGCATGTAAAGTTCTTATTTAATGTTAAAGAATATACATGATTTAATGCTAACCAGATAGGATAGAAAACTACACTTTATGTTAATCTTTCTCACTAAGAATTTTTCATAAGTAGTCTATGAAAATAATAAATAATATATAAATAAATAAAAGGGAGTAATTGAGTGATAATTTTGTTTATTTCATAGGGTTTTTAATTTGGATTTCTGCCATCTTTGCTGGTAGTAATGGACTTTTCTTGAAAAATTCTGAAATCTTGTATCAATATAATGCCATTGTAAAAGCAGGCACATTAACACCTCTTCATGGTTCTTCAGATTGGGCTTTAAAAGGCACCTTAAGATTGCAAGTTCATTCCCCAGATGTTATTCTCCAGGTGTGAACTGTTGATCAAGTGTTTCATTGCAGAATATTATTTTACATGAATTCAATGAACTTTATGAATTTTGATATAGGGATTATTAGGTGTTTTCATTGTCTTATTTTGTATTCACCTCTAGTTTAAAGATCTTACCGTCTCCCTGTTTAATGGAAAACATGATAAATCACCTCCAGAGCTAACATATCTTCCAATACCAGAGGAAGCGAATGAATTGCTGAAACCATTTGTTATTCATTATGATGAAGGGAAAATAAAAAACATATCAGTTGAAGCAGATGAACCTATTTGGTCAGTTAATATGAAGCGTGCATTAGCAAGTATTTTTCAGTTAGAAGAGGCAGCATTGCAAATACCTTCTTTTATTTCTAAAGAAGTAAGTTATTGTAAAAACAACCCACCAATTCACTTGAGATTGAAAAGAAAAATGTTTAAAGAAAACTTTGTAAATTATGTTTTTTCAGACTTCTCTTTATGGTAATTGTGATGTTGAATATACTGTGACTAATGTAAGCAATGAAATAATTGTGCGAAAATTCATTGATCACTTGACATGTGAAAACTACCCTCGATTAATATGGAAAAATACTTCACCTCTGCTATGCCCCTCTGGCAGAAGTATTGTTACATCCACTTCAGGAAGATTGTATGTGTTGGTTCCAACTGAAGGAGTGCTGACTCTCAAACATGTGGAAGTTCATAGTGGAGTTGATGTGCAACCTTTTCATGCTCACGGAGAATTAAATTATGCTTTTGTTAAGTAAGTTGCCACAACAATGAAATAGGATAATGCCATAATCATTCAATTTAACTTAAAATAATTATTATAATGTTTTAGTCAATCCATTTCTATGTCTTCAAGAGGATCAATCACTGAAAATATAAGCCTTCAAAACAATATTGTGCAAGTTGACTTACTTTATGAACTTCCCCGCCAGGACTTAACTCAGGGTCGTGCTCCCTATAATGATGAAGAACATTTAAAAATGGTATTTGTACAAGTAAAATAATATTTAAAGAAGATAAGTTTATAATAAATAATTAATCATTCATGAATATATTTTTGTATTTTTAGGTAGACACATACTTAAAAAGAATTATTGACACTTTGGAAGTTGATTCTTCTCTAAATGAAATAAAATCAGCTCATAATGAGTATATTCCTCATTTACTTCACTTTTTGTCTCTAATTAGTAGGCCGCATTTGGAACAATATTATAATGAATTGGCAATTGGTACAAGCTACCATCAGGAGACACAAAGGTAATTTTGAAAAATTAACGTACCATAAACTTTATTATCTATTCCCCATTGAAAGATTTTTGTTTCTCATGTTTTCAGGAATCTCTTTTTGAAATTACTTCCACAAGTTGGATCTAATGATGCTATTTTGTTGATACAAGATCTAGTACGAACTGGAAAAGAAAAAGGGAAAATTGCTATTGAATTGCTGACTGTTCTTCCTTTTTATATACGACATCCTTCAGAGGATCTATTGAAATTGAGCGAAGTATGTTTAATACACTTGCTGCTCCACTAAGCTTGCTTGCTACAGTATGCCCTAAAAATTATGCAGTTCCATTTGTGGTGAAATCTCTCATTGTCAAAAATTGCTAAAAATTAACATTGCAAAAGAGCATTGATGACAGTTTTTTAAATATATAATTGTTCTAAAAAATTAGATTTTTAAATTAGGTCATGTACTTTTTTATACGTAGTGTGAATATTTGGCCTGAATTTAATGTAATTTAATTTTTTCTAAATTCTCAAATACTGCTACAAATTTTTTCACTGATAGAGCAAAGGATTCTTAAAAATTGGTAGAGGTTTCATTTTCGTCAATCTGTATTTTTGAAAATTGCAAAAAACAAAAAATAATTTTGCAAAACTATAATATTGATGACAGATTTTTTTCCCTTAATGAAATCTGTTCTTTTAAACCAGCTCTTGAAGTAATGTTCATAAAAATCTGAATTTTTGAAAATTGCAAATGCAATTTTTTAAAGCATGGGAAAATTCAATTCTCAACGTACGACTGATGGTGTAGGGATATCTTGCATGGTATGTTCATTCTTACGGGAATGAGTTCGAATCTTTGTGCAGAGAAATACTTTTTGCTACTTGGAAAAATTTTTGCAGGTTCCTTTAATATTATGTTGCCTGTCCTTTTAAATAATGCAGGAAAAAATGTGCTGTGTAGCACCAGTGATTATTTATAAATATACATATGGACATTTTATATATCATATATACATATGGTCCAATTTATGGTTGAGGTACTTAAAGGGGAGAAAAAGCATACAAGTGCAGTTGTGCTTTAACTCGCACTATAAAATTCATTTTAGTTTGATTCAATCATCACATTTTTTGAAGAAACTTTTAACCATCACATAATTACATTAATAAATTGAATTTGCATAATTTTGCCCCAATACAACCAAACTATTTGGCATTATTTCATTAAATTCATTTATGATTTTATCTAAACACCATCTGCCACCATTCTCTCCTTTTGAATAATATCTCCAAGATCCCCTCTGTTTTTCCTGTCACCTGTTGTCTGATATCTTGGGATTTTCATTCTCAAATAGTTCTTTAATAACTCGAGGCCAAAAATGGTTCTCAGTGTCAATGATGTGAGCCTCGTTAAAGTTGATGAGATGACTGGTTTCGGAGGCGTATTGAGCTAAGGATGATTGCATGTGCTCTTCTATTGATCATCTCGTTTGACTCGTTTTCCAAATAAAATCTCACACAGTACCCTGCAGTGTAGGCATAGTAAAATAACAGAAAGAGGAAGTTCAGTTCTGGAAACACTAAATATTTTCTTACTTTTCTATTTCAATGTGATTAAAAGTCTGCTCTTATTCCAATGCCAGAAATTGTTGTCTTTGGGGGATGATATTATTGAAGAAGTCAAACAGTCTGCTATTCTTACATTTTCCATAATGGTTCATAAAGTATGCAAAACAAATTGCCGCCCAGAAACATTGGAAAAATATGTGAGATTATTCATCGATAAGTTTTCAAGTAAGAATAAACTACTTTATTGATTTGCAGTGAACTTACTTGAACGTGAAGTTCTTCAGAAAATTTGTTACTCATTTGAATTCTTTGACTATATTTTTCTTTTACAGATAGTCGATCTTATAGTGAGCAAGTTTTGTATTTGGAAGTTCTTAACAACATCGAATTGGGTAATGTATTTGACTACCTTGTTCCCATAATCAAAGGAAAAGTATCAGTTTTCACAGAAAAAACTCACCATATCAGGTTTTTAGGAGTATGGGCTAGCATGTCACAAGCTGTTTTTAACCCACACAAGGTGAATAAGAAAGTGAACAAACTATTTGCCTATCCAAAATAGAAATTCACATTAATTTATTTAAACTTGTCACATATTTTCATTGCAGGTTGGAGAGTTGTATTGGCCTATTCTTGCTAATCGGTCAGAACATCTTGAGATGCGAGTTGCTGCTCTCACAATGCTCATACTGGCAAAACCGACTCATAGCAATTTTGTGAATTTATTATGGTTCATGCAATCAGAACCTAATGCCCACCTTCTTCACTTTTATTATACAACATTAGAATCACTTATTGAAACTCAGTACCCATGTTACACAGGACTGTGAGAATTTAACTTATTTTCTTAGTTGTCTTGATTCTTAATATTGTTTGAAACTGAATAAAAATAGTGATTTTTTTCTCAATCATTTTAGAGGCACTTTAGCTTCACACATTATTCGCTATGTTCGACCTCCTGCTATTCGTAACTGGGCAACAGGAAATTACATCTTAGATTACTCTGATCCAAAGCATGGATTTGGAGGACTTGCTCAACTTTTTGCAGTAGCAAACCAACGAACTGGCAACCCCAATGTTTTTTATTTATTAGCTAATAGTCATGCATTGGATCACAACTTGAGACAGTTTGCAGTAAGTCAGTGCTTGTGAATGTCTAAATTACAAATCCTTGGAACATTGTTAAAATGTATTTTGAAAATGTTCACCATCTTTAATAAGAATTTTTAGCATAAGAAATTCATTGTTTTGTGATAGCAAGTCTTTTGCAGATCTATCTTAAATTGGAAGGAGTTGGTGATGCTATTAAGGACATGTTATTTAAAACTGATAAATCAATCAAATTTTCTGACTTGATTAATATATTTCAAGAAATAAAAGCACCAATAATTACATCAGAACCTATCCACATAGAAATAATTGCAAAAATTGAAGATAGAGTAGTGTATTGTCAATACATCAATAAAACAAATTTCTACAAATTAGCAGAAGGTACAGATTTTGTAGAAAAGAAGTAGTGTTACTATGTATGAGTCAATTGCAATAACCACCTTTTTTCCCCCTATTTTATTTCAGTTGTGTCTAAAATGAACTTCCTTGAACAAGAGGTGAGCATAAATTATCAAACTGTGAAAGCTCCTGTGTTAATAGAAACAACTCAGCCTACAGATATAGGTGTTCCTCTTCTGATGAGAACTGAATCATCTGTTATTACTTCTATCAGAGGAAATTTTACAAAAGATGGAAGTTCCTCTGTGCTGTCACGAAAAAATGAAGTTGACATTCGGTAAAATTAATTCATTTTAATTGTACAATTTTGAAGATTAACTATATTTTATAATTAAAAATCATGATAAATATTAGTTGTAATATTTTTTTTTTGTTGCAGTTACATATTCACATCTGGGTCAAATTTGATAATTTATAACCCTATTTTAAACTTATGGCATGCTGCAAGAAGGGCAGTGTCGTATCAAAGTTACTTCCCTATTGTGAACCAAGTTTCAGTGCATCCTAAACAACGAGAAGTGAAGCTTATACTTTCCAATCCTGCAGGTGAGGATTGTTATATATCATGGCAATGAAGTATTGATGGCATTTTAACTCATATAATACTTCTGATTTTTACATTATTTTGTTGTATATTATGGGAAGTACAATATGTTGAGTGATGGATCCAAAAAATATTTCTTTGAAGGGGAGGGGTTATTTAATTCTAATCTTCTGCTTTCACATCCATTTCATGTCATTTTACTGCAAAATGTTCACACTAGAGCGTGCCTAGTATATGAGACCCCTGGTCCTTTTACTGCACATACTTTCACCTGCTCGTTTCCTATATATTCTATACAACTACTGTACAGTACAGTGCTGGATCATCCACCCAATTGGCTATCTTTGCTTACAATCAACGCCCTCGGTCTAGAGGGGGGATAGGAGATCCAGAGAGCTTGCTCAACAGTCCACAGGGGGAATTGGCTCATTGGTAATCTTGCTCAGAAGTCCAGTGAAGCCTGTAACATCAGGAAGACATAGGGTGCTCTCTTCCATTGGTTTTGGCTTGTGTGTTCGGTGACATGCCTGCTCTTCTCTGTTGTTTGATAATTACATTTTGTGATTTGATGTGAATCTATTGATCAATGTTGGTCTCGTAATACTTTTGATGATTTTGCTTTTGAAACATGAAGGTTAGGCGATGTTGAGTGTCTCTGCTTTGTTTTGAATTTGGCCTTTGTATACTGTAAAAACGTTTACTGCATATTTTCTGGAGCCTGGTGCTTTTGGTTTTGTTAAATGAATAATGCACCTGTAAGCACCAATAACACTTTATTCTCATTAAAACATTACTGCATCTCTGCCTGAGATGCACCCTGAACATGCAAAGAGAAGAGGCTTAGCCACAGTACTTGAATGCAATGAAGTATTGTTGGCGTTATATTGTTATCAACATTGTACCCCGGTGCAAGGACCTCTTTCAATTAAGTTTAATAGTGTCTTTGAACACATAACTCACATTCTGAATAATAATATCTAATCTACCCTAAAATGGCTTTTGAACTTTCAGTCTTTTTCACCTCTACTAGTTCAAACTAATTAGTCGGCATTGAGGAAATTTGTTTATACGACTCAAATTCATACTAAAGCAAACAATCACAAGATTGGTCCACTCCAATTCTGCTCATCTATCTGATTCGCTTAACATCCTCTTCACCCAAAGCGAGTGGACGTATCTTCTGTACACTCGGTGTGAAGGTACCATCAGCTGTACAAGCGATAACTGTTCTCACCTCGCTGCCCTTGCCTTTTGATAACTCCTCTTTGCCAAAGGAGAAAGATTATCTTCAATCAGGAGGACCAAATTATCAACTTCCACTGGTCAGCTAAATTTGTGTAATTTCTATAATTCCTAAAAGTTCTCTCTCTGCCATCTTTGCCAAAGATACCATCTAATTTTCCTCATCTGCTGCCAATGGAACAACCAGCTGTCTGGTTCTCAGGATAAATTTAGCTGAATTGATTGCTTAAGTGAGTCTGCAATAATGAAAGGAGAGGGTGTCCAAACTTGTCAATCATTTGGGTCATTAGTTAAAGGAGTTAGGGAACGCAAGTTCATAACAGCCTCATGTCATAAAGGATGGTGGTTATCCCTTTTTTTGTCATACACGGCCTTGAGTCACAGCCAAAGAATGCCTTTTCATTACTTTGACTGCTGCTTTTAATGGCATGTGATCTGGGAGGGATGAAGTGCCATTCAATGTTTCAATCTGCTGGATAGGATACCCACTTTCCAAAAAGAACTGAACTTCCTTTAATGTGTTTCCTGCCCAATAAAGTTCCTGCCGTTATCTGATAATATTTTTATACAGAAAGCATATCATACTGTGAAGCGCTGCAAAGCTTCACTGCCAGAAATGTTTCAGTGGTAACCTCCGATACAAGTTCCAAATGCTCTTGCGTACTGAATCATTTGAATACAGCTCAGCAGCACTTGAAGACTGTTGCCATACCTCTTCATCTGCTTTCTCGCATTGATACTGGGACAGCATAATCTATGCTTATATCAAGTGCTGAAGCTACCCTTCTCCCATACACACTTGTGGAACCGTAGGGTTGAAGCAGAAACATTTCTTGACTTTCTTGCTATCTTCCTCCCACTGATGGGCCAGTATCTCTGACGAGTTGCTTGTAGCACCTGCTCTGGTGTTCTATGCTTAAGTCGATGTTCTTCCTACATCACAATCCTGGTGGTGTGATTTACAGGTTGGAGAAGTGGATGCCTTTATTCTTTTGCCTGTCCCTGCAGTCAACGACTATGTCTCACCTTCATCAATCCATTAAGTGATTTGATTAAGCTTATTTTTCGGAAACTCGTTATTTAAAAAGCATTTTTAAAGTTCCCAAAAGGTTTCCTGCCGTGTCCACATCTCAGTTGCCTCTGCCCTTTAGAAGTCTGCTGGTTTCAGTTGGGCGGTATCTTCTCTTTTCCTCGACTGATATTAAATATGAATCTGACATTAAGTCACTACGTGACAATTTTGTAAAAGATGGGAATTTAATGAGTAAGTTACCAGTCAATGTCACCATTGTTGTCTGTAACTTAGGCAAGTCAGTTTCCGGCTTATCAGTTTGCTTTGGTTGTGGACTCCGTGATATGAGTCAATGCAGTCCATTCCACTAAAGCGTCTCTTCTCCTTATTCTAATGAAGCAATATCCCTGGCTAGGCGGTCAGCTGCATTCTCTGCTGAGGGAACATGTCGCGTTCTGTCATGTGCTGTACCTTAACACCCTGTTCGCAACAGTGTCTTCACAAAGCGGGCTTATTCTCCAACATAGTGTGATGGTGCTGACTCTCCACAACCCGGTCTGACTTCGCCCCTCTCCCCCCGCCCTCAAGGCGTCCTTCACTCTTCAATTAATTTTGAAAGTGTCGGAGCTGGCTTCAATTCGTCTTGGTATTGTAACGCGTCGATGATCGGTCTTCCTGCCAGGGTGTTGGGCGCCAGGCTGGGCCGCAGAGGATGACGGGATATCCGTCGATTCATCTGCTTCGGTTGTTTGAATGATTGATAGTGATTTCGGGCACGTATGTTATTAAGGTCATTAGTCCCGTAAGTGTAGTGCATGCTTTTCTTCTCAACCAGGTATCTCCCACCAGCGGGGCACCGCCCCGGGATAAGCTCTGAGGTCCTGACTGATCTCCCGGCAAGTGTGATAATGTAGTGCGTCAGCGTGAGTAAGCAAGGGATGAGGATAGGACAAGGAAGATGTAGGAAAGATCGCGCACGGTCCGCGGGCGTTTGTTAGGGCACGCTCCGGCCTTCGCTTGGTGAGAAACTACGGAAAACTACCGAACAGAGTGGCCGGTCGCTAGAATTATCTTGCAGATAGTGATAAAACTCAGTCTAGCTGTCTGGCTTGTGTCGAAAATCGTGCCACCGTCGGGTCTGGAACCTCAAGACCTCCCGGTCAGAGGCTCTGCAGTGGCATCAGCCGATGCCCTGAGCCATCTCTCCCGGTTCCTGCTTCGTCTGGTCTCCGATGAGAACTCGAGTTGCTCTCGGTAGAGCGGGGAGAATAGCAGCCGTCGGTGGCTCGTTGGTTAGCTGTGTGACGAGGAGACCAGTATATACCGTGGAGGGATGTCTTCGTGGCCGAGGGGCTGGGCCACCGCTGGTCGGCCAAGGCCCGTGGCGGCTGTCGAGCCGAAGGACAGAGCGGGAGAATCCTCAGGGCGGCGCCTTTGCGGGTTTGCCTTGCAAAGGATGGGAAGTGGGACCGGACTTTGGGGACATTGTGCCTCAGAAATAAAGGAGGAGATAATATCGTCAACCATGTGGTTCCTGAAGGGATACTATCTCATTTATTGAAATTGAAATTAGTGGGCTGAGATAAGCATGAAGAAAATAACTTTTTTTTTTAAATTTTCAATTCCTTGACATTAAGTCTCTAAACTGTTACATGCGTGAATCTTGGCAATGATCTTCCTTCTTGACGTTGTGCAATGAAGTTCATGAAGCATTAAAATGTGGATAACTGACAAACTTTAGCTCCCACACCCTTTTCAAAGATTGTTCTTTAGGAACCTAGGTAGGCGAATAGGTGGTCGTGCGTGGGAGGAGGCAGCTTTGGTCTGGCGCGTGAAGGGCGCGAAGGCGATCAAAGACCGCGTCTGTGCTTGGGAGCGCGGAGGCCGACCACGTGACGGTGCCAGCTCGCCCCTATGGTTTTCTGTGCGGCGGGCAGTCGAAACAATGCGCGGTGACCCTGCGACGTTGCAGCACTGTGGCGGCTCCGTGGGGCGGGGGGGGGGGCGGTCACCCGCGTAAAAGGCTTCGAGGTTTAGTAACATCCAGAGATGTGTTGTTAGCGATCTTTCCTTTCTCTTTCTTGTCCTACTCTCTCCCTTTCTTACACACACTTGCATTTACACTTACATGCACTACATCAGGCGCGGATCCACGGGGAAGGATATGAGGGAAATTTCCCGCCCTAAAGTGTTTCTGTAACTATTAGCTTTAACTTGTCACGAAACTTTCGAGCAAAAATATTTTCCGATAATCATTAAAACGAATAAAAACGTATCGCAGCATGAGCTGAATGAAGCCTGCGATATTTTACAAAACCTCTAGTATCACATTAGACAAAAACATTTGTAATTTTCCCTCCCAAAATTTGTCTCTGGATTACACTACCACTCAAGCCGAGAGACCGGCCGGGAGCTTAGAGCTTGTCCCGGCTGGAGTAGTGCTCCACTGGTAGGAGATACCTGGTTAGGGGAAAAACTCGCGAGCCGACGGGTAGGTCGGCACCGGATTTCTCCTTCCAGTGGGGGAATATCACCGTCAACTTCCGCAAAAAACTATATACTACAGTTATGGGATTAATGACCTTGGCCGTTGACGCACCGGAAACATTAATCAAAGAATAAATCAAAATGAGTGGGTTCAGAGGCCTAATGATCATTAGTGAATATAATTCTGGATGTATTTATTCCCAGTTGGAGTTGTTAAAATTACAGTTAACAATTACAGATTCTTAATTATTTTGGTTTGATTATCCCTACAAAAATATTTCAATACTCAGTAGGTAGGCACAAATTTTCAAAGTGACTTAAAATATATTTCTATGACTTGCAGGAGTGGTTCGAGGATTTGTGGCACATTCTCAATCAACTGTGAACGTATATGGAAAAGGATCTAAGAAGATATCACAGTTTTGCCCAAAGTGTAAAAATTCAGTTGTTGTGACTGCTCATGGAAGAAAACATGTGCATGTAGGTGAAAGTTAAACAAGCAGTTTTAAGAACCAAGTATTGCAACTATAGTTTCTGAGTGTGTGCTTAATGGAATATTTCCATTTATTTTCCAGGATATTATTAATATATCTCTTGATGATATTGGAACAAAAGTGCAAATCTCACTCTATGACTGTGATCATTCATATGCCTTAAATGATCTTATTACACTTGTTCAAGATATATTTTCTGAAAACAACAAGAATTTCAGGTATACCTCATGACCATGGAATGAAGTCTGGACATTTTTGATTAACCTCAGAAGACTCCTTAGTGGAAATTACGTAAAAGTAGCCTTAAGGTTTGACTCATAAAAGAAATTTAATCATTACCCCCCTAGTCTCTCCCAAAGGGTACATTATGACATTGTATGAATTTTGTATGTGATTACTCTTTATTTTCATCTTTTTTGAAATGTAATATAGGTTACAGTAATAACTAGAACATTAATATCAAAATGTCTCCAACTGACATTTAATTGACACCATTTACTTCGTGATGTGTGCTCCTGTCTTTGGGTACACAATGACCCAACATTTGGGAATGAAAAGTCTTAACTGCGAAGATGGTAATTACTGGGAAATTCATTTTAAGAAGTAAATTCAGAAAGAAGTGTTCATTTTTACATTTGCACTCAAAGATTCATCTGAAGTTGCAACTTATTCTGTAGAAAGCAGAATTATAGTTCTCCTGTGCAATTGAGAATGTATTGATTTTTTAAGGAGCTTATAATTTTCAGATGTACACCTTAAAAATTTAGCACAGAGGAATACTTCTTCCCTTTAGGTCTTTTCAACTTTTCCAATTTTGTTTTCGCAGTATATTGGAACATATAAATTACATATATTTCTGTTAGAGGAGCTAACAAACTTCAACCTAATAAAAATATCTATTTATGAGAGCTTAGAAGCTTTCAAATTAAACCAAATCTTTCTTGATTTATTTAACAAGTTTTTTTTGATGTATTAATTAAATTAGTATGGCAAGAAACACACAGTAATTACAGTTAATGTCTGAAATGACTAGACGAATTTGTAAAAAATAATTATATTTTTTCAAAATATATGGCTGTACCTGGTCTTCATATCCATTCCTTGTGAAAGAGGAAAAAAATAAATTTAAAAGTATTATTTTTAATATAATTGGTTTACATTTTAATATAAATTATATATATAAAAGGAAATTGTTTTCTTTCATTTGTGTGTTTTAGAGTTTTTCCAATCAGTCGCCCATTCCTGGGGTTAATTCATTCAGTAGATCTTTTAAGCCTTGTTCCTCCCAAAGGAAGTTGTGGACTGCGTTTTAATGTTTCATCTACATCAGTAGAAAGTACAGAGGTGAGCAGAAATATTTCAATTGATCTATCTTTAACCTGGAAGTTATCAATCATGGTAATTTGCTGTTTATAATTTTGTAAGTGCAGTAATCTAGGTGAAATTATTTTGTCATTTACATAAAAATAAATATTAACACCAATACAGCTAATGGTTTACAAAATAAATACATGGTGTCACATTCAATGCTAAAAATCGTTGTGTTCATGAACCACTAACTACATATTGATTTATTCCAGTTGATTTTGACTGGAGCCCTTAGCAAACTAGGAAAAAAACAAATTTTCAAAATTTCAATTGATCTCAAGTCTTCTGCTGCTGAAACTTCTTTAAAATCTTGGGATGTTGCTTTAAATTACAATGTTCAAAATGAAAATACAAAGTATAATCTTCAAATGAACATTACTCGTGCATCAGAAGCTCAAGCATTTCAAAAGGTAATATAAATTAACATGCTGCTTTTGATTGATTATTTTTTAATTATTTACAAAATATGTGTTTGTAATTAAATATTTACAGAAATTTAAATTGTAATTACCATTGTTTTAGGTTTGCTTTGACCAAGAAACATTATTTCCGAAATCTACAAATGGGCTTCTTCCATGGAAACCATCTGATGATGTCACTACAAAAGTAAACATTGTATGGGGAAAATCCAATGAGTCTTGTCCCAAAGATGGAGGAGAAGTACATGTTGTAGCTCATGGAGAAGTTACAAAGGAACAAAAAGACTTGTTAAATAATTCAAAGTCTTGGCCTCATGCAGCATGTTTAGAAGACAGCAAGAACACAGCCGAATGGGGACAAGGGTACACTCCCATAACTGAAGCCTGTTACCGAGCATCCGTGGAAGTTGCCACTCTAAGGCAATATACTGCATCACTAGCATTCATCAATGTATGTATAATTTTAATTAGCATTTTAATGTGTTTCTCGGCTGACCTGAATGGCTGAGGTGTTTAAGAGCATGTAAAAACTCAGCTCTTCAGTCCAAAAGGCCATGGGTACGAGTCACACAATGGGCGTGATTGTGTGTCCCTTGTCTCTCATGTATGTGTTGCCATGGAGGGCCTTGCGTTCTGCTGACTCCAGATCAGACGAGCCCGCAAGTGTGTTGATGTCTAGTGTAAGGTTGAATATGTGGCCCATCGGGATGTAAGGGTAATCGACTATTGGCTGGATAAAAGCTCCTTTTGTTTTCTTTTTTCAACAGTAATAAGAGGATTAAATTAATATCCAGAATTATGTTTTTTTCATAGGCCACATATAATGTTATTTATAATTCATTTCTTTGTATTGAACCTAGTTAAGTTTTAAAAGAGATTTAGGAGAAACTAGGGGTGCTACAGCAACAAACATTTTCTCTTACTAATCGTGACATTTATATTATATTATTATAATGCACCTTCTATCCTCTTAAACTTCAGCAGCAGTGTAATTGCAAAAACTAGAAGTGCTACAGAATGGCACAGACTTTCCCGTATATTTTCATTGTGGACTAAACATAAAATGGGCACAATGTTAGTAGACATTTCAATGTGATGGACGCCAATGCTTAGTGGACCATTCTTATAAGTGGACGAAATGTTTATGAACATCCCATGTTTCTGGACTAGAATGCGTAGTGGATGTAAATAATGCGGACGAAATGTTTGTGGACGTCCTCAAGTGCCTTCGCAATGTCGACGGCAGACGCGGACCTCCTTACGCTCGGCTCCGCCCCGGCTCCCCTTCCGTCTACATCGCGAGGAAAGTCCCATGAACTGTGGGCGATCGCCCGGTTTGCCCATGCCTAGCGCCGGCACTGCTGACGCGTAGGTTAGTTGGTTGGCCCTGCCTCGGTGTGCACCACACCACGAAGTCAGCGAGCCACGCGCAGCTCGACCAGCCTCCACTCTGTATCGCAGTCTTGGTTCAGACGTCGGTGCCATCCTTACGCTTTCGTGACTCATAACACACGCACGGCCGCACAGCCCGGAAGGAGCTTACCGACTCTGTCAAATCAAGTGCCACGCACCCTCCTGTCGAGAGTTTGTCCACAAGCGTAAGGATGAGTTTTCGTAAACAGCACCTACTCCTCGGGATCCCGTTCTTGCTGAACGTTTCTCGATGGTGAATTAAAACACTCAGGTAATATTTATCAAAAACGTTTATTTGTAAACAATGCTACACTAAAATACTTGATTTATTTACAGATACATTACACAGTCCTTGTGTTTTTCACTTGATTATTTTCCTTACACACGACTCCGTTCTCTTGATTATTTATTTACACAGTCCACTTCTGATTATTTATTTACAAAGTTCACTTCTTCTGATTATTTATTTACACTGCTCACTTCTACACTATCGCACAGTCCGATGCACTGTCCACAGTCCACTTCGCTGACCAGATTTCCCTGCGCATACCCCCAATTCCCTGCGCAGACCAGGGTCCACTGCACTGCTGTTTAACGCGATGCACACTTCACAGCTCAGCTTCCACTTCAGACCGACTACTGCATACTCACACTGACGGACTGACTTCTTACTGACTGACTCGCGGCCGCTGGCAGCGGCGAATGTATACCAGCGGCCGGTGCCCGTCTCGACACAACCGGCACTTGCTCCACATTTCTACGCGACTTGCGCATAGCCCGGAACCGTCCAGTTCGGGGGGAAGGGAGGCACCGGCAGATGACGCAATCCGCGCTGCGAATCCCGGCAGATGATGCAATATTCGTTACAATATATGCAACGTGATATAAGTTGCGAAAGCCGTTTTTCAACGTACTAATGTGTGCCACAATGTAAGCCGCGTAACCGCACTCCTCGAGTATAACGTGCAAATCTCTGTTGGAGCAAAACGTGCGCTTGATCCACACATTTAACGCCATTTAAGGATCTCCGCCGTGCTCATCTTTCAATGGGTTGCTGAAACCAAGCGGTATTTTTTAACAGCTGCGTATTTCATTAACGCTGATAGTACAAGAAAGACGGTAGATTTGCGATGGCGCGGTCATAGATTAACATTTATCCATCCAATATTTATCCATGATGCGGTAGTCCACACTTTCATCTGGCGCTTCTTCGCAAATATAGTATTTTTTCGTATTCATTTAATATTAAACGAAGTTCAGTATCGACTTTAAGAAGGCGAGGTTTTGGTTGATGCAACTTCTCATAATGTTTTGGTCCTCGAGCACTTTGCGCGCGATCGACTGTCTTCTTTACACTTCAAAACAGTTTGTAGATACCTTCGACAACGCTGATACGAGCCCATCTTCATGGACCATCGATGAAAACGGAGTTGCTTCACGTCGATTGGTGTGTCAAATCGCGCAGTTTGACACATGCAGGCGAGGATCCACGGGGAGGGAAATTTCCTCTCCCAAATTATTTCAGTAACTATTAATGTTAATTTGGCACGAAACTTTCCATCAAAAATATTTTCGTATAAACATTAAAACGAATAAAATTGTATCACAATATGAGCTGAGTTTAGCCAGCGTCATTCTAGATAATCTGTAATATCACACATTCGACCAAAACATTTTGAATAAAAAAAGTTTCCTCCCAAAATGTCTCTGGGTCCGCTTCTGATATATGGATTATGTATGAGTGACACATACATTGACCACTCTATAGAATGATACACACTTTCGTGTGCACGTTACTTTCCTATTCTCCAGGAGGTTTTGCACCACCCTCCTCCCAACTGTTGTCTAGTAGCGCCTTTAAGACCTGCCATGGCCTCTCACGGTGTCTGCCCTCTCTGAGGACAACTCTCAGTGCCCCTCGCTCCCCTAACATTACTGGAACATAACCCTCATGGGCCGTCCATAAATTACGTAACGCTTGAGGCAGCGGGATACTCGATTAGTGCTATGTAACATTGATATTTCTGTAATATTTATTGAAATGTCAATGTTGATGTGTTGAAAAAATATATTTTTTTAGTTCTTATACTAAATCATTTAAAAAAGGTATTATCTAAATATTTTTTTAATGTAAATAATTTAAAGTTATTGGACGTTACAATTCATGAAAATATGTTCTCAAAATACTCCAAATTTGTGTTACGTAATTTATGGATGGACCCTTTGACCCTTCCAGCACCTTACACACATGCACAGAGTGGAATGTGGCCAGCTCAGTGCTTGTTTCTTTGATGTGGGTGTTGGAATTAAATTCCTGAATTACAACACAAGCAGATTGCACAGGAATTTCACTCACAAATATCGATCAGACCCATAGATTATGGAAGGATTAGGATATTAATGTGATACACCTATGCCTCCCACAGGTTTCCAAACCACAACCCTGATCTAATGTGATCTTGAGTTACACAAATGTCCCAATCAATGCACAAATAGTGAAGCTACATATACTGTTGTATATTCAGTACAAATAGTAGCTAAAACATATGCAATTAAAAGTAAAGCAATTTACATGATGCTCTGTATCCCTGACAATTTATGCCTTTTAGTTTCACAATTACTATCATTTAATTTCAGAAATATTAAAAGTCTAAAGGCTGTTGTCTTGTCATGTTCAGTAACAGACAATATAATTTACAGGTTCCTCAGTCTTTCCTGTTAATAAGCAAGCGAATAATTGCAGTTATGGATGCACTTACTCCAGGTTTAATGTCTCTGCCTTTAAACGAATTGTCAAATTTGACTGTTTCTCTGAAAGTACCACTGAACAAACCACATATATCTCTGAATGTCAACTCAAGAAAATTGGTACTTCCAAAGGCTGCATCTTGGTTTGAACCATTTCTTATTAATACTTGTGTTGACATGTTAGTACCCCAAGCAATGAGATTTGGTGCTTTAGGTAAGTACTAACAATAATAAACAGATAAAAGTAATTTGTATAACAATTGATTTCATCAGAAACATTGAATTTTTTCAGGATCCTGTGTTGTTAATTCTGCAAGAGTAATTTCCATTGACAACAAGACTCACAGTTTCTCAGCGTCTCCATGCTACACTCTAGTAGCAGGAGATTGTACACCACATCCTCATTTTGCAGTTTTTGTTAGAAGAATATCGGAATCAAAACCACTGGTACAATAGAAATTATATTTTTATATCTTTATTATGTGATTTAAAATATTATATATAATTGGCTGTCCGGGTGACGCCGTGTCCATGGCAAAGGTGCCGACATTTCGGTCACCATTCTGTGACCTTCCTCAGGGCGTATTGCCATTGGCATTGAGGAATTGCGACCGAAACGACGGCACCTTTGCCATGGACACGGCTTCACTCGGACAGCCAAATTATATTCTGACACCGGCTGCAGAAGCCGACGCTCTCTCATTTAAAATATTATTTTCCAATTTATTCTGAATTGATCATGAGGCAAATTTTTCAGAAAAATTAAGTTCCATAAGTCACAAAACTACCACTACTTAGCAAATTATTTATAATTGAGCCTCTTAAAGCTTGTGCTGTAACTCACATTTTTCTTATTCTGAGATATTTAAAGTGGGTACACTTGTCTTCAACATCGGGCTGATTGTCATTCTGATACTTTTGTCCAGTTACACACTTGGCATAAGGGTCTAAATGGAGATATCTCTTGTGGTATCGAAAGGTAAAGGATATATTTACATAATTTTTGTTAATTATCAACATTAATATTGTCATTTTCATTCAGTAGCCCAATAAATTCACAACACACAAAGATGGTGATAATTTTGCCTAGTTATATAGTTGATACAAGGGTCCAAATGGAGTTACACCACATGATAGGGGGTAAAGGATATGATTGAGAAGAAAATATGAAATGCATTTAACATCACTAAGTTACAATTTTTTTTTTTACAAAAATTCTAAATTAAATATACAAGAACGAAAGTGGAGAATACAATAAGTTCAAATTTTAAAAGAATTTTGGGGAAAATCTAAGAATATATGCAGTCTCAGATGAATTGAAAATAAAATATGGACAATTTCTCAAGTTTTGTAATTTTTTACTAGTCAGTCATCAACAACACCAATATTGTCAGAAATAAAAATACTCTTAAACTTCCCCCGTACAGCTTTCTCTGAGGTAGTTATCTCAAGAAACTGGGCATTCTTTTTCAGAATAAGACTGGAAGAACAATTTGTGAAATGGCATATACTCTTTCTTTACAAAGAATTGTGGATGGTTCAATCTTTTGGTACTGAGTTAATAATCACAGCAAACTAAGAAAACAAACCTGTTCTAGGTAAAATGATGCAACTCCCAACACCACCACTTAGCTCTCCACCAAAAGCATACACCATTTTTGCTGCTAATGTAGAATGCCACTGGCTCAATACAATGACCATTCTTCTTAAAACTAGTAGTGCTGGCACCGACTTTCTCATAGAAAACCAATACCTTCACTAATTGTGAACTTTTATCTACAAAAGATTTTAAATCAAGGGATGCATAATATAGCTTCATCATTCACTGTGAGCTACTATCGTTTTTTTCTTACATTTCTCAACCAACTACTTACCTTTTAGCATCTCATTAGGCATAGGTACAAGATGACTTGCAATATTTTCATTCGGAACCAAAAACATTATATAAACCCATTTCAGTAAAAAAATAATTCCAACTACTGAACTTGGAATACAATCACTACGTAAGTAGTGCACTATGACACTATTATTCTAACAATATTCCACCGATGAATCACTTAATTAAATAAAATAATCTCCAAAACTTGGCTGTGTTCATCCTAGTCAAAACAAACACATTGCTTAATAACATTCTTTTCATGGTAACTAATTTCAACATAAACCACTTGCCATTCTTAAGTGAGAGAATACAAAAATTTCACTTTCTCAGTAATATTTACAAAAAATTGACAAAGTATTTAGAGAACTTTTCAGTCAAACTCCAAATATCTGGGTCAAAATAAAGCACTCAGAATTTTGGAGAGAATTTTCTTTTCTATAGTTTTTGAGAAAATTTGGTTCAAAGGTTTCTGAAAATTTGCCATATTTAGTCCACATATTCTCAAATCTAATGGATTTTTCAAATTCATCATTCGAGATACTTTGAAGCTTGTGTGTTAACAGATGCATTACACTATGAAATACATCTATAATGTAAATTTTAATGATGTGACATATTCAAAAAATTACACATTTTTAACAAGATATCGAAAGAATACAGCAAAATGGTGTTTATGAGATACCATAAAGTACAATTAGCAGTATTCGTTCTAAAAGTTATAAGAAAAAATTTGCAGCTATTTTTGAGACTTCTTTTTATTATTGTCCATACTTCTACCGAAATTGCTTGTTAACTATGAAAAAATTTTAATAAAAGTTCACATTAATGAAGAACTAATTATTGAGAAAAAAATCACCATCTTCAATATTGTAGTTCTAAAAAGGGGCTGATAAACTTTCAAAATTTTACAGTTTTCGAAAATTCAAAGTTAAAATTGAAAATCAGCCCTATGCTGTCTTTACAAGTGTATTCTACTCTATCTTACAATAAGTTTAAAGAAAAAATTTGGAATATGCCATAGGGGCTTCATGTAAATTAAAGGTTTTTCAAGATTACAGTGCTTCGAGCAGAGCCAGATCATCGGGGGATTATCCATTTTGGAAAACATCTTATGAATAGTTTAGGTACTAAGAGTTGTTCTAGAGACATTTTGTAAAGAACTTCTTTTTTTGGTATCAAGGACCCACAATTTCTGAAAACTGACTATGTAATGTGTTAGTAAATTGTTTCCTCCATGTATTAGAACAGGATTTATCCACTTTTCCTGTATCAGGGCTGTACAATACAAGTAGTCGAAAAATCAGATTTTTGCCATGGCATTACATACATTTCTCTACACTACGTATATACACGTACATATACGAGAAAATAAAAATACAAACATTGGAGTTACACCACTTGTGCTTTAAGGGGCTCAAGAATTCATGAACAACCACAAAGGCATTACATTTTCTGTAATTATAGTTTTTTAGTTAGAGTGTACTCAATTTCAAGTAAGTCTTCATGTTTTTAGGCTGCAAAACTTCACTTAAATGGAAATGTTATAGAAATTTTACCAGTCAGTAATGGAGAACTCAAAATATTTGTCAATAATGAAAATATTGCTGCTAATGAATCAGAAAGCCAGGAAAAACAAGATTTTCGGTGAGTTAAAATTAGTAAATGCATGGAAATATGATCAGTATTCTTAGGATTTTAACTTAAATTTACTACTTGAAATGTAACGTCTAACAGTCCATACTTTCTTGAATTATTTACAATGGTTATGTAATATAATACTCAGAAGTCAAGCCTGCATGTGTTCCCAACCTGCAAAAATATTTGCCAGGACTGTAATTCAAATTCAGATGTGTACATTCCACAAGCATTGAACTTATCCATTTTATTACCATATTTGTTCACAACGTTCCTGATCCAACAAAATTTATTTTTTCAAATTCCAAAATTTCAGAGCTTTTATTGATTATTAGACCTGTGGAATTTCCATTAGCATACTTTTTTTAAATGCGAAGTAAAAATTTGAAACCATTTTGGAGTACATTTTATAACGACCTAGGGGCTTCATCTAAAGTACAACCCCCTACCCCCAAATTAAAATGTTTCAAATCTGAGGTGCTGTGATATCACCTGATCAACTAAGAAACAAATTGCGGAGAAAATCCTGTGTGTTGTTCACAGAAGGAAGTTTTGAGAAAAAACACTTTTTCATTACCTAGGACTGCCCAAAAAAATGTAGATTTTGATCAGAAAGTAGAAATGAGAAAAACAGCACTTCCAATGGTTCCAAAAACATGAATATAATATTTTTTATTATTATTTATTTTATTTATTTTTTCCAGAATTCAGCAACTTGAAAAAGGACTTGTTAGAGTGACTTCTGACACTGCCTACATCTGGCTACAACATAATGGGTATTTTCTTACATTAGTAATGCCAGCATTTTACCGTGGACAATTATGTGGTTTATGTGGAGATTTCAATGGTGATGCAAGTAATGATGATATTGGTGTGATACTGAAAACTCAATGCTAAAACTCTGAAGTTGAAAATATCTGTAAAAGAACTCCATAATTAAATGTTGAAATATTAAATTTAGGTTTCTGTATGTTTTCTATTTACATTTTAATCATAAAAGTTTATTTTAACAGTGTGCACAATCAGCAGTTGTTTTTTGCATCATTTAAACCATGAAATAATGAAGTTATACCAGAAATATATCTTCATCCACCCTATTTTATCTGCATACATTGAATTATTTTGCAATGAGGATTAAAGATGACCATCTTCATGATATCTGATTTTCATCATCATTACAGCAAACTATTTATTTCAGTAATTAGTACTTAGCTGCTGAAACAAATCAGCATGTAGAAATAAACACTAAGTAATTTCAGAAGCTATTTTATTTTCTGAACAATTTACAACAACAATAATACATAACAAAATTGTGTATCAACCCTCTTAAATGTATAGCAAGTACTATTTGATGTACAGTGAGCGAGATCTTTTTTTTCCAAATAAAATTTTAATAATATCAATACAAAAACTTCATGCAATACCTTGCCTAGCTTTCTCCATAAACATTTGTCTCTGTGAATGCAAATCTTCAAGGAAAAGATCAACCCGGTGATTTTCTAAACCACAACTTTCTTCAAAATTCTTCAGTCTAACAATATTTTGTCTGTTCCGTTGATAATGGAAGACAGCAGTCAGCATATGCCAAACACTAAATTCTGGCCAAAGAACCTTGGAGAAATACACACATGTACTTGAAGTCTGTCAACAGATAAAAATAACATTTGGCACTTAGAATACAGTCAATACATAATTATAGAGGCTTTCATAACAAATTTACATTTAATTAATCAAGATCAAATTTTCATAAATTTAATGTATACAGGATTGTCCTCTCGTACGTTTTGTAAGTAATGAAATTAACTCAAAAGCAGTTTATGTAATAATCAAATTTACCTTCATCCAATTCCTACAGATTTACCAATAAAAACAATGCTACTATTCCTATTCTGAATGTATGTTATTGCGAAATTCTTATATTTCAGTGTTAATATTGGTTTAATGTTATGATTAGTTCGTCATTCAGTTTCATTTCACCTAATAAACAAAATTAAATGAATCATGACAAACGAGCATGAATCAAATAATATTTTAAAAAGTCCTAGTATTAATTGGTAGAACCTATTCTGGCAGAACCTTCCAAGAAAGCATCAGTTAACTTTCAACACTGACATGAGTTGCTAGTGGAGTTCCTTAATGATTAGATTTAATGCCACTTCTTATTCACAATATATACAAGCAACATTGGAGATGAACTATCTTCAGAATGGAACAGTTATGCTGATCACACCAAGTTATTTGCTTACTCATAAAACATTACCAGGCACTACAGTCAACCCTTAAATTAGTAAATGAGCAGTTAGATATTTGCCCACTTCTTCCTCATCTACTCCTAACAGCAGCGAGTGCAAAATTCAACATTTCATGAGGAATAATCCACAGTACAGTTACACCACTGAACCTCAGTCAACAGTGAAGAAACAACAATGGAGTTGTTATATCTTGATTAGAAAGGAGCGTCAAGTTGCCTTGGTCACTTAACATTCCAGCACTGTGATGCACTTAGAAGAATTTTTCCACCTTGTAACTGCTGACAACAAAGAAAAACTACACCTCATATCAGATCTGTGCTAAAATATGCAAATATCGTCTGGTCCCCCCCCTCTACTGAGAGAGATACACCATTTAGAGTTCAGAAATGTCTCACAAAAATCCTAAGAAAATTACCAACTGTCACTAGAAGAAAGCTGTCATGAAATATGTCTTCGGGCACTAGAGGGAAAGAAGGAGATGTGGTAGAGATCTACAAGATCCTTCATAGGTTCTACAATGCAATCCAATTTGAGACACCTTTAACAAGAGCTCTAGATCTTGGGAGGACATAATGTGAAGCTGCAAAAGGAAGAATTGAGAAATAGACATTGATCAAGTCAAGCTGCAAATTAATGGAATGCTCTCTCTTGCAAGCTGTGTAAACAGAGACTGTGAATGGTTTCAAGCCAAGTGCAATATGGAATAGTTATGAAGCTGAATAAATGAAGGAACATGTGATGATTCTGATATGGTTTATTACTGATAACTTTGATTGGAGTAATGTAAAAACTGTGATAAGCGATTTCTAATAACATTTGGTACATCAAATAAAATGAGTGTGTGTGTGTTAGCCTATCTACTGCTACTGTTATTTCAGTGGTACTCAGGCAGAACTGATACAGCAAGAAAATTGATTTTTCAGGAGACTTTTTCAAAATTTGTTGATTTGCCAAAAGTAAGATTTTATTCAAAATAACAGGGCAAGTCCATTAAACTGTTTCACAACTAATACAGTCTTCCCTTAGTGGCAGGACACTGCAACATTTCACTGAATTTATGAATATTTAATAACAGAAATTTTATTTTTATAAGACAGTGGATTTTGTTATATTACCAGATTTAAAGGGGATCGAAACAAAATTGACTTTTCCTGTTAATGATATAACTACAAAGAACAAACTACCAAGATTGTTGCAAGAACAGACTCCCTTGGTGGAAGTTGATTGATTGTGATGTATTAAGTTTAGTGACTAAGCGTAGTCCGTGTTGTTTTCCTCGGGAGGTGGTGGTGATCTTCCCTACCACTGGCTATTGGGTTTCCTCAACAAGGTATCTCCCACTAGCAGAGCACCACCTCAGTCGACAAATGCTAAGCTCCTCACCTGTCTCACGTCTTGTGTGGTAGTGTAGTGCATGTTAGTAAGTAAGCATGTAAATGTGTGTAAAGGGTGAGGATAGGACAAAGAAGAGGAAGGAAAGATCGATCAGAGCAGCTGGCCGCTAGAATTCTCCTCCAGATAGCGACAGAATTCAACCTATTTGAAAAGCTGTGTCAAAAATCTTGCCACCGTTGGGAATCTAACCTAATAAGACCTCGCGGTCAGAGGCACTGCAGTGACATCAGTTGATGCCCTTAGCCACCTCTCCTGGTTTCTGGAGAGTGTAAGAGGGGAATGGAGAATTATTTCAGCCTGTAGTTACGACATCGAGGGTGGCAGCAAAACCGATAATGCCTCGACTGACATACACGTAAAAATATATTATAACAGCATTATGGTATCTTGCTTATGTCATACAATTTCAACACAATGAAAATATAACTATAATCTAATAGGATGTCCAGTCTGTTATAAAGTGATTTAAACTGTTGTACACTGGTGGCTGAAATTAATTTCTGTGGGAGGCAATTCCAAATATCCAATACTTAATCATCAACAATGTTCTTGTGATTAATATCTCTGAACTTGGCTTTTTTCCAATTTCATATTGTGTTCTTTTAAGTTTCGGTTGGTAAGTCGAATGTAGAACATGGCAGTCGCCGTGGCTGTGGAGAATTTTGACAATTTCAGCAGCATCTAACATAACTGTTGAACGTTAAGTTCACTCAATTGTTCTTCATAAGACTTGCTCCTAATATCCAGGATCGTCTTTGTGGCTCTTATGTTGGAGTTCTTCATGTAGTAATGTCCTTGATGAATACAGACTCCAGACAGAGCATATTCTGACACTGGCAGAATATGTTCTTTTAAGTGTTGTGAAAGATGATTTTTCAAAAAATCAAAAAAACTTATCAAATCAGGAATAACTGTTTATTCACCTCCTTAACAAAATGGGCATTCCATTAACAAATGTCTGTTATGATGACACCCAAGTCTCTTACCCAATAAGAAGTTTTAATTACTTGACCATTGACCATTGATGATCTAAGCAAAATGTTGATGAGGGTCTAAAGAGACAAATTTTACCATACTAGTTAAATAAAAAATGCGAAAGAAAAGTTTGCTTATGCATTACTACAAAGTAAATTTCACTTACAAGAACTGTTAAAGACATAAAACCAACATTATCATCTAGACAGAAATTGCCAATACCTTAGATACTGCACACAAATCCTGGCCCTCTGAATGTTCAATTTGAACTTCCCCTGGTCCAACACATTCACGACAGTATTCATAACCGATTGAAATTTCAACTTACAACCTTTCAGACAACAATATGCTCTGCCTTAACTACATGAACAAGTTAAAAATAGTTTCAATATGAACAAAATATCTATATACTAACCTGCCAAAGAAGAAAATCGCTTAACCTTATTTCTCCTGATGTTCTAATAAGAAGATCAGGATTGGGACTCTTATTAGTGTATAAGCATTGGCTTATTACATGCTTACTGATGTCTTCTGGAAGTATTATTTTCTTCTCCACTCCTGCTACTAAACTCTTAATTGCACTTGTGATTTCATCTCGAGCTAATGAAAACATTTGTGGATATAAAAAATCTGCTCACAATAACTAGTTACACCATCAGTAATATAAAATAGGTACTCACATGTATACGCAAAAGCTATATTTAAAAATGCTTTGTTATTGTCTTTAGTAAGAATCATTGCTTCAGACATTAACTGTCTCAAATCCTCTGGAAGCAATGCTAGGTTACCTATCACTCTGACACTAACTCCATGATCCATTAACTTTTCTCTGAAAAGCAATGCAAGTCTTTTAGTACCTCAGCCATAATATTTCAAAACCATTTTAATAAAATTTCATTACCTTTCATCAAGCAGTCTTTTGAATTTATCTCTTGCAAGATCCATCAACTCGTTCACTTCCTCAGTGCTACGTTTAAAATTTTCTATGCTAAAAGCATAAACAGTAACTTCTGGTATTCCAAGATCCAAGCACCATTGTAAAGTTTCCGCCAATTTGTCAAACCTATTCAAAACAACAAACATTCAACACAACAAGCAACTAAACAATATTATAATACTGAATGCAGTTGGAACAGGTTTTAACCTGGTTAATAACAAGCTCATTGTCTTGGGTAAGTCGCCTAATTTGCAGGAATTTCTTTGGTAAAGCTACGGGTTAATTTCCACCTTCAATTGCGACGAGGTCGTTAAAACCAAGAATAAAAATGTGCACTGCAAAATGTCTTACCCTTTCGTGTGTCCTTCCACTTTGGCTACATTGTTTTTCTTCGCAAACCGCCTATTTCCGTCCATTATAAATGCAACATGATTCGGCACTCCACCACTTTTAACCACCTTTAAACACACATACTGAATCCAGTTCAGAGTATTTTCACGTAACCAAGACATTCCGTAATAAATGAAAATCACAAGCACAGTTAAATGGACCTCTTAACTGAAAAAAAATGTTGCTTTATTCTCATCTCTCCTGTCAATACTTGGGGGTAATATCGTTTAACAATGTTTTTGAAAACGAAATGCAAAATAGTAATATGAGTTAGTTTATATAAAATAACATTTTGGTATTGCTGTACATGTAACCACGAGAATCAGCTGATCCGCATACTACCACGTAGACACTACTGCAGGAGTGTGCAGTCTTTTAAAAGACCGTGAATTCTGTCATGTAAGATTTCGTTGCGTTTGCATTTATCTTTATTGCAAATATTCAGTTGAAAGTTTACAAGTACAACAATATCTCACTTGCCTGTGTTCATTTCAAGGGGTTACGAAAACTTCTCGAGTTTTATTCAATTGACGACATACGAGCCATTTTGTATTCATTCGCATCGGTCAGAAATACAAGTACAGCTCTTGCTTGCGTACAAATAAAGCCGTCCATAACTTGCCACCATCATCTAAGTATATAAGTAATTATTATGCCAGTTTAATAGTAATGATTCTGAAAATTTGCGGCAGCAATGTTTTCAGAATCGTGGATCTATTTCGCTTCGCGCATCCTCTAATATTGGCTTGCGGTTCGAATTGGTAGTGAAGTGCAATGAGTTCTAAATGGGAAAGCAAGTTATGTCCGAAGAATAGTTATTTATTTTTCGTCGTCATGTTTGTTAAGTCGTAGATTAAACATGCAGTTATGGATACCGATACGTCATCTCATCAATCCTGTGTGGCATCAGGTATAAATTTTCCTCTAAATAATCTTAAATCGTTGTGTAAATTAGCGATGTGTGATACGTTGGTTACAATGGTTGTTTCTCTTCCAGAACTGTATTTCTTGATTGCCAAGTTTCTTAGTGCTGGACCATGTCAGGAAACGGCTAAGGTACGGTTCAAAATAGTAAATGGTGTGTGAACTTCTCTGTTTGATGGAAAATTTCAGCGATGTTTTGTGTTTCAGGCTTTGAAGCGTGAATTGGAGAAGTCCAAGGTAGGTGTACTACTGCTTCACACTTTGACGTACTCTGCCTAGATTGGGGGGAGCCGCATGGTTTGCACGTGGGTTGCCCCGTCAAAACACTGTGCTCTGGGGGGTCAATGGCCTGAGTAGAATTCGTAGAATGATAATAATATTTTGATTGTTTATTTTTGCAGGCTTTACCAAAAAGATTAGATTGGCTGGGAAATGAACATGAACAGACATTTGAAGAATTGGTAAGTGGAAATAATTATAAAAATAAAAAATAATGACAGATCGCGTTTTGGAGTCGGTAACTTTGAGTATAGAATTTTTCGCCACCTTTTCAGAAAATAAGATTAGTGTTTTATATTCCCCTTTATGATTCTCTTTATCGACCTCTTCATTAGTATTTTGCCCAGTTTTCGCTCACCCCTTCCATTTCCAAAGGTCCTTTTTTTAAGTAAACGTCATTGAGTATTGGCCAGCCTATAGGAACTGAGACTTGTCGAGTGACGTAACCCGATCGATGACTATGCAATCCGAGTGTCCTGGTTGGCGGAAAACGTAGCACATGCATTTTGATTGGTTGTGTGTCGAAACAGCGCGAAAAATATAGTTTGATCAAATGAGTAAATGAATATTTTTTAACGGCCACAATAATTTTCAATTTTATTAGTTCTTTTTTATCCTCGTGTTAAAAAGTATCAAAATTTGTAAGTTTATTAAGTAAATTTCTTTCTTTTTTAATATTTTGAAACGTTTATTAATAATTTCGAATGCAGAAATTAAGCTATTTAATGAGAATGCAACATTGTTTCACAGACACTGATCATTTTTTAGCTTATGAGGCATGTATTTTAGATGATAAAACAATTTACTGCATAGGGTTTACAAATTAACCTTTTATAAAATGTAACTGATTGTTTCATTTTTTTATTTTTTATCTGTTAATTTCATATCAAGTCAGAAAAGTGAATTCATACCAAATTAGTTTTCCAAAATAGATTTTAAAGATTCTAGATCTTTTTACCTAATTGTTGGTAAATATGTTAAGTAGTAAATGACAAATCAGTTGGGTCTAATATCTGTGATTTTTATTTCAAACATATAAAATTAAATTTGTAGAAGATTACTTCTCTCTTGATTTCCTCATATTAAAGTGAAATTCTCATAATAACGAATGTTCCTCAGAATAAAGAATGGTCCTTGATGAGTTGACACATCATTGATCTGGGGGGTACTTTCGATTCCAAGGGTAGCTTTTATTCTCATTGTACTGAAATCTTCAATTAGACTATGAGAAGATGGGTATATATTTTGAGAAACTTGTGATCATTCAATAATCCTAATACAATATCCTTGTTGTAGATCTACTTTCGAACACAACAGTATGGTTTGGAACCCCCTTTATGACAAACCAATGGATTATACTCGTGATGATTCATAGATTTCTGAGAACTATAGGTTATAGGCTATAACCTATGACTATCTACGATCCCCCGTGACTATCTACGATCATGACTAGTGTTATTCTGGAGAGGGTGTGCTTGGCGTCCTGTGACAGAAGGGTGTTGTCTGATTCTGCACGTTCTTATTGAAGCTAATCTGTAATTATATCAACTGTCCTGAACTTCTCCCCTCTATTTCCTAAAGGGTATAAAGTGATTACTATAAGAAGGGACTGCTTTGACAGCCACTGCTGGCAACATAACAGCAGGTTATGTGCATGCACTCATTTTGTCAGTGTTTTCATTTACAGTTAGCTCATTTGTAAATGACCGTCATGATCTCTTGCAATGCTGTCACCCTGTATGACATTCATTTCTTTCCAGACCTGTTCTCCGCTGCAGGACTAGCAGTGATTGAAATGAGCCCTTCATTGGATCCTTAAGAGTACTATTAATCTTCTTGGAGACATTGACATTTTTACAGACTTTAAGACTCAGTTAGGAATAGAATTGGAGCCTGTTGGAATAGGAGGCCTGAGGAAATGCTGTGGAGAAATGCACGAGCCTCACTTACGTTTTCTCATAAATTTGCTGCTGGATATGCTTAGATGAAGTATTGATCTTAAATATCATTAATTGTTATTATGGCCTGACTCCTCTTTCAGGAAAAAAAGTATCCTCACATTGGTCCTAATCACTTATTAGAAATATGCAGTCGTATAGGACCGCTTTTAGATCAAGAGATCAAACCGTGTGTACCTGGAGTTTTATCTCTACTCGGTGCTGGACGGCAGTCATTATTACGAACAAAACAAGGTAAGAATGGAAACTTCTTGGAACAATGATTGAAAAATAACGAATGACCATATTATCAATTTTGTTTCTCTTGGTAGACTCTGCTTCTCCTGTTTGGAGTGTGGTTGATTATGCAGTTCGGAAAAGAGGTTGTCCATTATTTGAATCTGTATCGCTTTCTCGAACTCACAATATTGGTAGGTACAACTTTTTATTTATATATGTAGAGTAGATCAGGACAACTTTATTTGCCCTGCTAGAGAATATTTTAAAAATTCCCTGCCTTTATCATTTGTTTTTGTTACTATAGTGAAAGTTATTCAGGGAAGGGAAACATCTGGCCCTGTGAGTCGCCGCCTTGCTGTTTCTTCCAAATTGTACAGCAAACAGCAACTATTTTGTCGCAGTCTTGGACATCTTTCAGCTGTATATTGTTTGCTTTTTGATCGTACTGGTCGATATGTGATCTCTGTAAGTATTTGTGTAATTATAGGTGTATAGTAACATAAAGAATTTGAGTATCTGCCCCCCGTCTCTCTCTCCCCCTCTCTCTCTCTCCCCCTCTCTCTC